CATATTTGAATATTATATTTTCAGGCCAACCATAATACTGAGCAAGACATGGTGTGGGCTGTGTATTAAGTGTGGGTGAGGCCTGCAACTGGTTGGTTTTGAAACTCAAGTGCAAATACTAAACATAAAATGTGATTCAAAAGACAATAAAGAGGTCAGTGATGTATTAATATAGCAGGCTAACTAGGTTTTCTTTCCTCCATCTCTCAGAAAGAAGGAATCAATGAGTATCATAATGATATTTCCTACCTAGGGAGCAGCTTTTCCGAGGCAGGACTGCAGTGGGGTTAGAATACTAACTAAGGTTCCTGCTACCTGGAAGGTAAAATCCAGGGATTTGCTGCTCCTTCACAACAGATACTATCTGAAGAGAAGGTAAGAATAAAATCCTTTGTCTATGAGAAGAGGGGAATGAAAACAAAAAAACCTAWGCAAATAAAAAATTTATTATGTGGTTATATTATATCAATATATATAATATTATATATTATTCTTTTCAAAAGAGAATTGTTTTCTAGTTGTCAATGTAGATAAAACTGTTCTTAAAGTAATGTTTTTCTCTTTGATGTGAACAGCACATAATATAAAAGAATACCAAGTACCCTACAAAATCATTTCAGGGAAATAACTAAATAATTTTCTCATTCTTTCCATTAATACAGTTATATAACTCTGGTATATTATAAAAGAAAAGTAAAAATATTAAATGTTTAAAAAGTTACATTAATATTTACCTTTTTTGGAAGAGTTATATTTTTCTTGTTCTTCAATGAATTAAATGCACATAATGATGGAAACAAAAGAAAGAAATCAGCAAATTTATAGTTAGACATGGAAATGTGAATTAACACAATGGCATGAATAATAAAAATGCATAACAAATAATGTGACATGATCAATTGCAATGATAAACCATGAGGAAACCTCAAATATGGTACTAAAATCAATCAAAGGAAGAATGAATACAGCAATTTAAAGATTTTAAATGAAACAAAAAATTGGGATATTAATATGCTTTCATGTAAAGTATGTATCAATAGCTTGAAAAGTATATGCAACAGTATTTTTCTTGCCTTTAAAGTATTGCACATTAGCACCAATATTACTAAAATACTTTTAACTTTTAATGTAAATGTATTTACATTGTCTTTTAATGTAAATGTATTTAAAAGCATAGTTAATATTCATAAGAATTATATCACAAAATGATATAAATTCATATGATTTGAAATTGCATATGGTAAAATAAACTTAGTTCTCCTAAAAGTATGCTTTTTATCTGTACTATGGAAACTATTCTGTAACATTTTCTACGTAGAAAAATATATTCTAATTTAAGTAATTCTTTCTTCTTTCTCAAATTAAATTATATATAAATATCCCAAAGTGAAATTACTTGGATTTTAGAAACTAATGTCAGATATTTCATAATATCTAAGTTATCTCACTGTCAGTACACTATTTACTGTCCTGTCTAGATATTTATAAAAGGAAATATCATAAGAGTTTCAGGTAGCAGATGTAATAATGAAACATAAAACAATTGGCACACCACTCTTGATTTATGAATGATCTTTAAATACTTCTTTAAAGACATCCATTTGAGCAAACATACACTCAAAAAAATCACTTGATTTGGTTTAGAAAGCCATACATTTTTTTTTCTCCTCCTGGAGACAAGGTCTTTCTATGTTGCCCAGGCTGGCCTCATATTGTTGGGCTCAAACGATCCTCCTGCCTCAGCCTCCTGAACAGTTGGGAGTACTGGTGTACACCACCAAAACCAGCTAGAAAACTATATATTTTTATATAACTGATTATGTTGGCATTAGTCCCTTTACATAAGAATACATTGTATTCTCAGTACATTAGAATACAATGTTGAAATACAATTGAGGAAATTTTATTGAAGTCTTCCCACTGTATTTTCACATACTAGTTAGAGTTTCTATATTACAACCTACATTTTCTTTATCTTTATCTCAAAACATGTACTGTAATCATCTCTTTGCTTTTCACCCAAACCTATTGTAACAATCACATTTCATGTAGCAAGTAGGCTAACATTCTCCATTTTGGGGGTGGGGAGAACTAGGGATTGAACTCAGGGGTACTCAACACTGAGCCACATCCCCAACCCTATTTTGTATTTTATTTAGAGACAAGGTCTCATTGAGTTGCTTAGCACCTTGCTGTTGCTGAGGCTGGCTTTGAACCTGAGATCCTTCTGTCTCAGCCTCCTGAGCCACTGGGATTGCAGGCATGCGCCACGACGCCCACCTCCACTGCCCCATTTTTAAAAAACACTTTAAAAATGCTTTTATTTAAAAATTAAGCAATCTGTTCAAATGTTATGTTGGCCTTTTAAAATAAGAGATACTGATTTTAGGGTACAAGGARTGTAAAGTAAATCTTATAAGAAAAAAATATACCAAGTCAATCAAATTTTCCTGACATACATACTAGAAACAATGATATATATATAACAGTATATAGAAACCACATGAAAAAAGTTATTTTAGAAGTGCATCAAAAAGTTGTATAGCTATCCAGGAATATAAACCATTTGAAATATTGGGTCATAACAATCATCGTTTAATCAACTCCAGTAAAAGAAAGAAAGAAAGAAACAAACAAAAAACGAAATCAGAAAACCACTCTTTGTTAAAATAAAAAAAAATTAAAAAGAGACAAAAAGTCAGTCAAATGCAGGAGAAAATTAATCAATTACAAATTAACTGCAGTTGATATCAATCTTCACATAAGATAAAACTAAATTAAACAAATAATAGGAAAATAAAAAAGTAACAATAATCCTATAGCCTCAAGAACAACATTGCAATCAATCTTAAATAGCATGTGCTAAAATCTTACCTAGGTMATTAATCAAATTAAAAATTTACCTTTGAAAATATATTTTAGGACAAATATAGCTATCATATGAGCTGTTCAGTTTGAATTAAATCCATAATAATATGATGGCAGACAGTATAGTATTATGTACCAAAAGTCCCAAATACATATATTAACATCATAAAGTACACCATAAATATGTTTGTAGAAAAAGAACACTTATATATAATACATACTTCTTTTTACATTTTACAAAAACTATATCTATATGACTTTTAAGATCTTATATTTCAAGAACCTCAAATGACCAAAAGTGTCCACTAGTGTATTTGAGATATTAAACAGCAAAACAAAAAAATTAGTAATTGTCATTCTCAATTATTCCCTTCTTCCCACCTCATCTCAATCCTTAAATATTGATGATTTCTCTGAAAGACAACTGTGAATATAAATATCATAAAGAGTAACACTGATTTTAACAAAACATGAACTTTTAAAAATAAAAAATCCAACATACTATCCAACCGATTTTGCAGAAGCAATTCTTATTTCTATGGAAGTAACACAACTATAATCTTGCCATTGAGAATTATATGCAGTATCATTATATGCTTTTGAACCTGTAGAGTGTTTTACTTGCAACTAGAGGAAATGCAAAGAATTTTAGGAGCACATGACTTTTTCAGTATCAATATAACCAGTAACAACAAGTCTGTAGCCAAACACCAAAATCTGTAGTCTTTCAGTTGTGCAACAGGAGTTCAGGAAGAATAATTTACATAAACACCAGTTTTTATTTGTTAAAAAGTTAAATAATTTCATCTGGGTTAGTTTTAATAACATTAATTATAGATAGTTCTCTCAAAATGTTCCCAGAAAAGAGACAAAAAGTTTGTTAAACATGTAAATTCATAATTTAAATAAAGCAACTGCCATTTTAGAAAAGAAAGTCAGATTTCACAAAGTATCATATTTTCCAGATTAATTGATGCCTTTAAAACAACCATAAAAACTAAAGCATGATATATCAACAGGAAGTATGATTTAAAAAAATACAAATTCAGAGTTTATTGTACCAGCATTACTCTATTAATAAGTTGATACCTCTTAAAATCAACACTATATTTCTATAATCAACTATTCTGCATGGCAAACTATGCCACATCAGTCTTTGAGACAAAGTATTTATCTTCACAGATCTTTAACATTTCTGTGACACATTCAGTAAAGCACTTCGAGTAATGAGAGAAATGTATCCAGCACACTCAATATGGAGTGAAATGCAAGTTTTACATCAGCAACAATCAACACTGTTGAAAAAAAATATTCAAAATGTTAACCTTTCAGTTGTTTCACAGGGAGGAAGATTCTCAATGCATGTTCAAATATCAGTTCACTGCATTTACACTACCACTCAATAAAAATTATTTCAATAATTTTTAAATCCTTGATAAGAAATATGTGATAATGAATACTGATAAATCTTGTCACTTACTGAGAAATGGGGCATACAATAAATACTGATTCTTTTAACCCACTATTTAAGTCATCTGGCTCATGTAGTTTAAAATTTAGTTTCTGCTATCAAATCACACACACATTCACATGCACACACATGTGCACTCGCTCCTCCCGTAAGGAAAATAATGTATACATGCTCAAAGTGAGAGAATCTCTAAGTAAGTGCTCTAAGACAGCTTTCCATCTTTAAACTTATATAAAAAATACAAGATACTGTTAATCAAGGTAAAATAAAAAAAAACACTAGTAAAGCATTCAAAATGACTGTTTAATTTTTTAAATATGTTTTAAAAATAGGTTAAGGCAAATCTTCTTTTAATATGTAAAAATACCATATCACACTGGGGTTCTCCTAATTTTATCTTCTATCTTTTTACCTTTGTAAAACCATGTTTGCAGGCCTCCACCCATTCTGACAAGTGACCAGCTAAAACTTGTTGGTTTACTTGGTCAACAAAACCAGGAACCACTGGGGTATTGGGGATAAAATTCTAAGAAATTTAACTTCTTAGGATTCAGCAAACTACATATTATCCCAAAATATTATTCATTTAATAAAAAGATTATAAAAAGAGGAGGTTCTCAAATCCAAGATTTTTGGACAAGGATCTCTCCATATAGGATACCTTGTTCTATACTGCCGCTTCTCACTGGCACCTGAGGGAGCTGTCTTCCCCTGCGACTGCTGAAGGATGTGTCTGCTGGAGGAGACTGGGTTGGACTTCCTTGTCGATGCATTCTGCAGGCATAAAACAGAGGGAGGGATGAAATGCCAATACAGCCAGACAAAAAATCTTTCCCTTCTTCCTGTTACTAAAACAGATATAAAACCTCTAACTGGGTCATTGGAAGCAAAATCAAGTTCTTTTTAATGCTATGTGTAAAAGGAATAATACAAAAGGAGCTCAAAAGAACAGATCAATGTCTTCTACACACAGCTTTGATAATGAATTCCTGAATGGAGCTGAATCCATTCACTTCTTTTTAACTTTCCATGAAGTTGTGCTTTCTGGGCAAGTTATTCCTGTTTGGTAGTGCTGAAACAAACATATCTAATTACAGCCTTTAGATCTTAAAATATAGAAAAATTAGTTATGAGAGGCTGTTGCCTAAAGTGCTCCTATTAAATTGATATTAGAATTACTTAAAACTGACAGACATATTTCTAATTGGAGATACTTTTACAAAATTACCACTCACTTGTACTTTAAGTAGAAAAAACCTTGAAAGGTATTTAAAATAATCCTGGACACATGCTATGAAATCTATTGACACAAGGACTGAAATTACAAATGAGAATTTGAGAAGCATGCAGATACATTACTACTGTCCAGGAATAAGCTGACCTCCATCTGTTGGCATTCAAACTTTTTGTTTAACTGAAGAACTTTAAGATGCTCTAAGACTTCACTGAACACATGGAAGGTTATGTTTTTTAATTCCTCTTACACTTTTAAAAAGCAAATACATATTTAATTCCAAATAATTTATCATACAGAATTTCACATAATTAATAAATTGTATATGAATATGCCACAAACAGATGAAAGGACATAACACAGTCAATTTAAGTTTCAATGATAGCTAACTGGCAGAATTAAAGATAGATGCAAGTAGTAGAGGATGTGGAGAGGTTTAAGTGCCACAGAAAAAGAATTAAAAATTATGGTGTCATAATGAGTGAAAGCTTCGAGTGCTCAGGAAGATACAACACCACACCAACACCCGGAGGCAGGACATGAATGCTGGGCTGACACTGAATAGCAACCTTGTCAGAAGCGGAGAAGGTGGCGCCGACCCTCCAGGGGCAAGGTGGTGCATAGAACACAGTGTTCTGACACTAGAGTGCTCACTCRACCTTGAGCGAGCGGGATGTTTTCCCCTAATGACTGGTTGATCAGTCGCTCTTGGGGCTGCGTGTCCCCTTCTAGAAAGACATGGTGGGAGAACCCTAAAACATTAGGGCCAAAAAAGATCTTCAGTCAGCAGGTTCACATTAACTTTATACCAACACATCTGTCCAAGGAAAACCTTGTTACTCTCATAAGACAGTGATTTTTAAAGAACCAGAAGAAAACCCGTCACACAATTACTGAAATGAAATTAAAATCAAACTGACAAGTTATTATTGCAAATGTGAATGTCATATAGTTTTTAAAGGGTAAGTCTAGGTTGCTCTGAAATAATGAACCTCCTATAAGTTCCACAGGGACACAGAGTTCTGTCTCTCATCTTTTTCTGAGCTCTATCTCCAGTGCTAAAACATAGCTGTATGGACAGCAAGAGCTCAACACCGATATGTTGATTGAATGAGTCAGAATAATTAGAATGATGAACATGGGGATACTTCAAGTACATGCCTTCAAGAAGAAATAATGCACAGTAGAAATCTTTGTATATTTTTACAAGGTTCATAATGTTTCTTTGCAATAAGCAAGTTCATGGCAAACAGCAAAAGGAGGATGTCTTCTGAGAATAATCTAAGGAGATTAAAAATAGACTAATATTAAAAATGCAGAATGTCTCATTAATTCATATAATTAGGTGCCCGTGGTTGACATGTGAGAAAAACATGTTTTTGGATATAACAGTATCTAAAAAGATATCTGTCAATATATTGACAACTATCTCCAAATGGTGTTCAAAATTTTTACAGAACCAATTTCTGAATTAAGGATTAAGAATAAAAAAAACTTATGTTTAAAATATATTTAAAACAAATACTTTTGCCTTTTTCATAATTTTCAGTACACTTTAAATAAAATTCATAATTAAAATACCTATTATGCCAGAAGAAATTAAATAACATCTCATTTTTTTTGGGGGGGGGACTGGGGATTAAACTCAGGGGTACTTGACCACTAAGCTACATCCCCCTAATTTGTATTTTATTTAGAGACAAGRTCTCACTGAATTGGTTAGCACCTCAACATTGCTGAGGCTGTCTTTGAACTTGCAATCCTCCTGCCTCAGCCTCCAGAGCTTCTGGGATTACAGACGTGTGCCACTGCATCTGACCAACATCTCATTCTTTTAAAGCAATGCTATAAAATTGATGCACTAAGTAACTTGAAATGGATAAGAATAAAGAATACATATTGGCTACCAAAAGTATATTGATGAATACTTTATTCAATCTGTATTTAGACTGATAATCTTTTTTTAAGTAAAATAATTTTCATAGTTACAGTAATTTTGATTCAGGGTATCTCTTGCATTTTAGAACAATAAAATGGCAAATATCAGGATGAAGGGAACAAAAAGGTACAGCTCAGGTCTTTCATCTTCTTTAGTTATAGATTAATGTTTTATCAGATCCTATTTTATATTCTGAAACATGGATTATTACCTTCATTTCCAAATGAAGATAAAAAAGGAACTGACAATATTCCATTTTATTAAAATATTAGTATTAATACTTAATATTAAATCATTCATTCTGAATTGACTTTCACATAACTGTATAAATTTGATAAGGGAAGGATTACATGACAAAGTCCTTTTGAATGACACTGAGTAAGTATTATCTATTTTTTCCTTTAGAAGCCATCATGATTAGAAATTTTAACAATCCTATTCAAACTACACATACTGAATGTGGTCTAAAATTCAGTCATACAGTTTTTCACTCAAGTAATGAGAAATTTCATGATTATTACAATTTCAATAAAATCTTGTGCTCTTCCTTTATGCAATTTATAAGTACCAAAGAACAACTTGAGTGGGACATGAGATGTGAATAATTTAAATGTGCAACCAAACTAAATAGCAAAGATACAAAAAGCAACTTCAGGGGAAAATAAATTTTCCTGGCTGAATATTGTACAGTTCCAGAATAGGTGACTTAATGCATCATTTGTTGACCACATGGAGGCTTGCAGAGCCTGAAAATAGCCTATGATATTTGAGATTAATCATTTAGTAAGATTTGGTTTATCTTTTACATGAAATAAAAGCCCCTCAATAATGGAGCAGTTCCTGACACTAGCCAGTGTGGACAAGCAGGAGAGTACAGAACAAAGAATAAATAGAAAGCCACTTTGCCTGAGGAAGAGAGGGGATGTGGCAGCAAGCTGAATTATAGGAAGGGAAACTGGAGAGAGGAAATGGAGAACTTGAAGAGAGATGAGTAGRATTTTGCAGAGGAGAGATAATGGATATAAGTATGGTTTGTTTTAGGAAAATTAATCCAGAAATTCCAAGGTATTTGAGTGAAAAGCTTGGAGAATCCAGGCTGTAATGCATTGATCTTTTCCATGAAATGGGATGTGATAAGAACTTGGGGATGCAAAAAGAATGACAGAGGTTTAGAACAACCATGTCAGTGAACATGGCAGGGAGGGAATGATGGATAATAAAAATGGTAAGAACTTTACTGATCATCAATGCAGGGCATCTGTAAATGCCAGGCATTGAATGTGTGTGCATGCTATGTGTGTATACACACACATACTTATCTATGTATACTTTTTTAAAATTCTTACACCCTGAGAACTATAATTATTACTATTGTACAAATGAAAAACTGAGGATCATAGTGACTTGCAAAAAGACAGAGATAGAATGTGTTGGAGTTAGGATCCACACAAGTCTGTTGTGCTCCAACATTTGCTCTCTTTTCTGCTTATTGAGATAGTATTTGTTTCTATACCATAAAATGAAAAACAGTAATTTCACATCTCAGATATGCTATCAATTTTTTAGTACAAAACATAAAATATATGCCCACATATAAAGTTGCTTGGAAGGACTTGAAAGAATTATGTTTTGATATTTGTAGGATAGAAACAAATGGAAAATGGCATCTAATGAGAACCCATTGTGCGATATATATAAACATGTATACTGCATACTCTATCTTACTATCTCCAAATGCATATCTAAATATTTAACTACAAAATTTGTTCCATGCCTATGTTGTTCACCTAAAACTTGGACTTAAGTTATACACATTTCTCAGCAAAACTTTAAAGCTTTAGTCAGATATTTCTATTGCTGAAAATAGGACTTGCAGAAATTGCTTCTATTGACATTAAAAAAGTCCAGTTTTAGTTTTTTTAGTTTGTTTGTTTTAATGACTTATTAAAGGATGGTATACCACATACATGTGGCATTTGAAGTCATCAAAATAACTCCTCCTATGATGGCCCCTTACAGAGCAGCACAGGCACTTTCCAAAAGCAACAGCACAAAATAAAGCATACATTTAAGCAAGGCTAAGTAGATGTCTGAACAAACCATCCACAGTCAGGATGCAGAGTGTTGGTTCCAAAAGAAGAAAAGTCACCAGAATAGAATGTAGAAAGGATGCTAGCAGTTCTCAGAGGTGAATTTACATGGAGGAGAAAAGCTAGACTTTTATGAAAGAGCTTCCCAAGCACAGAAGACAGAAATCAGTTCTGCCTGTCTTCTATCTGTAACTGACCATTATATTTTTCAAAATATTTTCTTATGAGCTATTCCTCATGGGGCAAGTTTGCTCATGCCAACAAAGGGTCTTTAAACCATGTTATTTTCACAGTAATTTTTGTCAAAAATCAATGCATGATGGAGTGGTATGATTCATGTTTGTAAGTTGTTAACTCCCAAAGGTGGAAAGATTCACTGCCCAGGCGGGGAGTGTATCTAAGAGGTAGAGAGCTTTCCTAGCATGCATGAGGCCCTGGGTTTGATCTTCAGCACAGTAAGGGGGAAAAAAAGTGAATGTGAAAAGCACTATGACCTTACTTCACCTGTAGTTAGATGGAAACTATGTTGTCTTCTGAAGAAATGAAAACAAATGTAACCTARAAAATCCAAATTAATTCTTCTGTACCTAACTATTCAATAATTCACTTAAAGCTACCTATGTAATTCATAATATTCTACTAAAATTCAACTAAGAAATTTAATTATAACCAAACAAACCTACATGTATAAAAGGTTAGTGTTACCTATTTGAGAGAGCTGGGCTCAGATTAAAGAATGTGAAAACAGAAATGCAATTGGTATTATTTAATTTCAGGCTGTCTATGTAACTGTCAGAACTCTGTGCTTCATTTTCTTCCCAAAGTCCAATTCCTTTTCCAATTTAAGACTTTTTTGAGTCCCCTGCATCCTTACTCCTCTGTAAATTAAGTTCTCTAAATACTCAACATCTCCATGTACCACTGCTAGGAGTAGACTTCAACTCCTTTACTCATCACCTGACATATCCCAAATCTTCTCATTTTTCGGGTCTTAACTCAGTGGCAATATCCTCTACATCCTTTAGGAAGATTTCCTTTTTCTTTTCTCTTCTCTTCTCTTCTCTTCTCTTCTCTTCTCTCTCTCTCTCTCTCTCTCTCTCTCTCTCTCTCTCTCTCTCTTTTCTCTTGTTGCTGTTGTTGTTGTTATTGCTTAGGACATTGATCCCTGAACTTAGCACATAACTTGGCACATGCTTGTTAAATGAACGAATCCCTGAACTATACAGATTCTATCTCAAATAAGCCTGATATGATAACCTAGCTGGTGCCCTGGAATCAACCTTGGTCCTTTCCATCCACCTTCCAAAATGTTCCCAAGGTGATCTATAATTTTGTAAGTTAAAATCAATCTCCACCCTCCTGTGTTTAAAGCATATCAATGGCTCATAAAGTTGTTGAGGTTCTTTGGTACACCATTAACAAGGCAGTCCTGTCATTCATTTAAACTCTCAGAATATCTCTATTTATATTTTCAGCATCCATTTTCAACTCCCAGGATCCTGTTCTCCATTCCCAAACTGGTACATTTTCTATAAACTCAAAAAGATATTTCAAGTTTTAGTGTTTTTTTTACATTGTTCTTTCTCATGAAACAGTCTACTTTTCACATCTGCTTTTATCTATCTACACTTAGTTCAAGTGATATCTATTTATCAAACAGTTTAATTTCATTCTGACCCTACATATCTGTTTTCACTCTACCTGTGCATACCTCTGTAGTAACAGCTGTGATGTCTGAATGCATTCATTCTTCTAAATCTATGTCCCCACACCTGTTCTCAACAATTGTTGAGAATGAAATGAAAAATTTTTGAGAATGAAATGAAAAACTGAATATGTTATCRTTAAACATATTCTTATATTATTCTTATATAATATTACAATACTTCATATTTTTATTAAACTGAACAAACGAATGTGTTATTTGGGATTTATAAGTATTTCTGCAATATTGTTCCTAAAAATACTAAAAAAATGTGTGGAATGTGATGAATTGTACACAAGTCAGTAATTCCTTATAATTTTTGCATGAAATCAGCATTTTTCTATGGTTATAAAACACAAGAGTCACAGATTATCCTTTTGAAGAAAAGAGACTTTTTCAAAGATGACATTATTCATATACATAACACGTATTTAACAGATTTGCATATTCCAGGCATTATGTTCGTGGAAATATTTAGTATAATCTCTCAAACAAGAAAGTCCCAATAGTATATAAAAATGAATGTGGGTTTAATCCTCATTAATAATCAGAATGACCATGAAAAGAATGTGATTTTCTTTTAAACCTCCAAAATACCCCTTATTTCTTCAATGAGACTATTCCCACAAAGGGGCAAAATTATTTACATGAAATTCTTTAAACATCACAACCTGTGTTTAAGAACTGCATAAGCGACATGAGAGAGGAATGCCCTGACTGTAAGAAGGAAGGACCGCAGCACAGCACAACACCGAGCCTACCTTTCTGCATCAGAGGCAGTGCCTTTCCTAGTCTGTTTTTGGATGCTAGATCTTTCAGACTTTCTGGAGTGCCTGTGGAATGAAATGTTAAAGAAATACAAAATATCTGATGAATAAAGCTACATCAACATCATACAATGATAGAAACAATAGACATGAAAATGACAACTATTTTACCTAAATGGTTTTGTCAGTCAATACTTTTCAAATTAAAAAATAAATAAATAAAAATTTAAAAAAAATCAGAATTGGTGCTGGATGGAAGACAGGAGTTGCCAACAGGAGACAATAGATACTCATGTTTCATTAGTTTAGACAAACAGGTCTACAGCAATGATCTAACACAGATACCTGCTAGCAACTCTGCCTCCCCTTGATGAGTAAACAGATTTAATGGTGAAGTACAATGATGATAAATGTGACCATGGTGGTGGGTTAGGTGCTGAAAGACCAAAGAGGGGTGATGTGCCCTCTACTTCTTAAAGGTTCAAACTTGCTACTACAAAGTTGCTCTATTCTTTTTTCTTTTTTTGCCTCAAAATTATGGAGAAAAGAGAAGGAAAATGCTAAGGTGTAAGATTTTGACATAAGTGAAAGTATTTAAATCTACTATTTAAAGCATTTTTAAAATTGTCATAAGGATTTCTTTGTAATACTGTTGCATTTTAAAAAGTTAATCATATGTTACAAATCAAAGAATTARTAAAGTCCCCAATATATTTTCTAAAAGTACACATATACACTCAATATTTGGAATCTGAAGTTTTTTCATATAAATAATATATTTTATATATATATCCTACATCCCTAATGCACTTACATGTGCCTATTTAGACCAAAATGTCTGAACGAATCTAGCTATGTAAAATTTATTATGTACACTTAAGGTATGCATGATGTTATAAATTAAATACATATTAAATAGTTACTATACTGGAATTAATTAACATATCCATCATATCACAGTTACCCGCAGAAAACTACATATTTGAAATAAGTAATACAAAATATTGTAGTCTAGAACTTATGCCTTTAAAAAATCAGACAAAACATAAGAATATACATTTTACATTGGTTATTGAATCACTATAATTTATACTTATTTTCTTTCCTGATACACTTTCCTTCCAATAATGTTGAGACCAATATCTGTCTTTGCTTATCAGTCTCAGACATCCTAAATGAGTCAAAGAATGAAGTCAGTTTTCACAGTGTGTATAGTATTGAGACTGCTCCTCTTTCACACTATCTTATTCTTACAATTCAGGGTTTCAGCTATGTGTTCTTCACCTGCTACCATTCTGAAACCTCATTTCTGAGTTGAAAAATGGGACGAAATAGAGGAGAAAGTTGTCTCCCACTCACCACACTCTCTTGGAAAAGAGTGGGTCTGATATAATGGAAGATAATGGTATGCCAGGTGCACTGAAGGAGTATGAACTCATTTAACCTTCAAAACAATCCTTTAAGAAGGTGTCATCTCCATTTTCTCCATTATCACAGATGAAGCAACTGGCACAGGGCAAGGCCACTCAATAATAAAGTAGCAAAGCTGGGAACATGTCTATCTGGTTCCATCCAAAAGTGTGGAGGAAGTAAATTCTGATGCATTTCCTAAGGTTGCATCCTTCAAGAAGGGAAGAACCCATGAAATCTGGTATAGGTTTGGGAAAGCACAAAGAGAAGATTCTCCTTCTCACATTAAGGAAATGTAAAAGGAATTTTCTTTACTGGTGTATGGTCAGGAGAGGAGACTTTGCGACAATTGAAGTGCATGGTACATGCTGAAATCAACAGGGGGTGCCTGTTATGGTTGCTGGCAAGGGAGACTTGTTCCTGAAGCACAGGGAAGGAGGGATAGACACAGCACAAAGTTGTGAAGAAGGGGATGAGAGGCASAGTAAGTAGGTCTGTAGCCCAGGAGCATCTGAGTTCAAAGAAAAGGCAGCATAGTCTTTATGGGTAATTTATGCTTGGTTCCAACAGTGCCCCAGGACAACTGTCTGGGAGAAAAAATGTTTCTTTTCTCATCTTCAGCACAAGGAAAGCAGGTGTCATTATCATCAAGGATTTTTCAATCAGTCTTTTTTTAATGCAAAAAATGCTTGTTGAGTATGTATATGGGCCAGGGTCTACTCTATGTGTGTGAAATATGTCTGTGAACAAAGCATTGATTTCAAGCAATTTACCTTTTACTTGTAGAAGATAAAAAGTAAACAACAACAACAAAATCACATACAATTCTGTAATACACTGTGGGAGAAGGTAATAAATGATAACAACTGCAAAAATGGAAACCAGGCCCAGAGAATCAGAAATGTGATCTGGGGACTGGGAGCAGCTACAGTTTGCAACTGTAAGCAGTGTGGCCACAAAAGAACCACTGAGTTAGTGACATTTTAGCAAACCTGAAGATGAAGAAGTTAGCTATGGTTTATATTAAAGGAAAGAAAATCTCAAAGGCAACAGCAAGAGGGCAGGTGCTAAAGCAGATGTGGGACTAGTACATTAACCAGTACAGCAGGATTTGAGGGAGATGAGTTAGATGAGAAGAGTCTGGGGGAGGTGAGAGAGGGATTGGACAGAACACAGTGAATCTACCTCTGCCCAGTAAAAAGGCTATTCACATCTCTTAGAACCTGCCTGCATTTCTTCTTATGCTGGTAAATGTTATTCATTTTCTAGATTGGATTGAAATTTCACTTCCTTGGCAAAATTTTCAGGCTCTTCTTCCTCTTCTCATCTCCTAAAACTTATTGGAGTCATATACTAGATGGATTATGATTTTTTTTTTTACCTGCATTATCTCATCTAATCTTGCCAACTCAAAGAGACAGGTAACACTTTTATCTTTGGAAGAATAATGAGATAGAGGTTTGCAAAGGTTAAATGATTTATTTTTACATGGTCACTAAATGTCAAGTCAGAGGTGAACTGAGAGTCTCAATAGAAGTAATCACATTGCATCTCTGGCTTAAATGAAATAGGAACATGCTGACTAAAGTATGGACTCTGATCAGATTAGATTTAATCTCAGCTGGGTGGCATTTTATCCTCTCTGTTTTTCCACATGCAAAGTGGTAGGTTTGCTAATTCTAAATAGTCCAATATTGCCTAATATTTATATTATATTATTTGTCATTTTTGTAATTTGACACAGAATCGACATTGTAGTATTTTCAGCATTCCTTAAAATAGCAAGTAATTAAGAGTGCTCAAAGTATTGTTTTTTATTATAATATATATTTGGTTTTAAGTGTAAAGACACTTATTAATCTATAAGCATTAATAAATAGGGCTTCATACATGTACCCTTTTTACATTTATTTTTTAATCTTCTAGTTAAGGATACGCCTTTTTATTCTTCAAATGTCATTAAAATTTCATTGCATTAAAGATCCTTCTAAATATTCGTACCAAGGACATGTCTTTATAATTCTTCTAAGCATTAAAAAGAATTCCTCAAATAGAACTAAAATGATAGATACATAATTGCAGGAATTGAGTGTCAAGCAACACCAAAGAAGAAAATAGGAAATTCTAACGTCTTTTCTACCCTAAATCCTAAATCCTAGCTATGAATATATTGTACATTTAAAACACAACTATCCCTTGGAGTAAATAAAGGCTGAAGTTATGAATAATAGTAAAGGTCAGAAAAATCCATTATATTCATGTACTACACAAGTGAAAAGACTGATCATGCAAACACACAAGGTATCAGAGTAGAATGAACTCCCTCCTACACTTAATATTATTCCTCATAAGTTTCTTGTAGTCCGGAACCAGGTCTCTTTGAGTTATTACCATGATATCAATACTTAGTACATAGTAGTTCAAATGAAAGATGAATGAATGGTTCAAACACTATTGTCACAAATAACAGGGTATCATTCTTAAGGCTGAATAGTACTCCATTGTATATATGTACTACATTTTCTTTATCCATTCATCACTTGATGGACACTTAGCTTGTTTCCATTACTTGGCTACTGTTCATAGTGTTTCAACAAATGTGGGGTCCAAGGCTGGGGAGTGTGTGTGGGGGGAGGGTTGATCAACAGGTACCAAGTTATAGCTAGACAGAAAAAAATTAAGGTGTGCTCTTGTACAATTACATAACCACAGAAAATGATATTTCAAAAAGCTAGAAGAATTTTGCGTGTTTTCACCATAAAAAGTGAGAAATAAGGAAATAAATGTTAACTCTGATTTATATATTACATGCATAAATATATACATATTATTACATATGCATATATATATGCACATACATATATATATATATACAACAAATACATGTATTAAAATATCACATGATACCCCACAAATAAGTAGCATTTTTATGTTTTTATGTATATATTAAATTTAAATATTAACAAGTTTTATTTTGTATATTATCATGGAATTTGACACTTAAAAATTATAATTAGCATAAAATAAACTAGGGATATAAAATCTAGCCCCATTTGATCAGTTTAGAAATAAAGCTATGCTTCATTCTCTGGGCTGAAGAAAATATAAAATGCCACAAATAATGAATGACCTCTGGTTTATTGTCTTACTCATACTAATTTTCAGTCATTATTTAGGCTCTAATATATGTTTTAATCATAATACAACAATGCAGCATAGTCTTAGTTTTAGGATCATATTAAACATTAGAATTCAGTTGGTCCATCTACACCTTGGTACATTTACAGATAAGGAAACTGAGTTCCATAACATTTAAGTGATTGATCCAAGGTCATATAGGCCTTAATTAGTTGGTAAGGACACTTACCTTCATGTCTTCATGTCCTTAATTTCTCTGTTCTTTAAAAAAATGTTTTTGTTCTATTATTATCAATATTTTATTATTCATAAATAATATTTCTTTGGTTTAAAAACACAAGAACCAGAATTTTTATTTCCTTTTTCATTCAAAATGTTAACGGCTATATGATTTTAGTTTTATGCTTACTAGTTTATAGGTTACTGATGAACTTATTTAAAAGCTATGAAAGTACATTAAAATGTAAATGTAAAATTTATGATTAAATTAAAGTAAGAGTAATAATCAGAAAATGAAAATGTTTCTAATTAAAACTGAATTCTTTTGAAACTCCATTTAAAAGTATTATTCCCTCTTTATGTAAACTTAATTGTGAAGATTTTTAACATGTACCAAAGAGATAATTATTAAAAGCTGTTGCTACTTTCCTTTTCTCTTCAATAACTAATTTAAGTTAGAGTAATTTCCTGAATACATTGGTAACTAAAGCTTTTCTGAAGATATTAAAATTCACGTAAAAAATTAATATGTTAAGAGTCTAATATTGGAATGTTATTTTCAAAATACTCAAATGTGGTCATGATACAAAACATTCAAATTCTGTACATATAATTCCCTGGCTGCCAAGTCTCCCAGGATAAATTTCAACTAATGTCCATTTTACTTATAAATATTCAGCATACCAAAATCTGACACTGTGTTCATTTTATTTAAAAATTGGCAGGATCTGAATGAATGAGTAAAAATGCTTCTGGGATGTGACATGCAAGTAAGTGCTCCATAAGCTTTATCATGTGGTTGGCATGGCTACCTGTGAATTTAGCACTAGTTGATTATGATTTCTTATTTTTATGGGAATGTATCATCTTAACTTAATAAAATTTTGTTTTAAACTATTTTCTACTCTCTACAGTAATAAATCATGGTATCAAGTCATTTAAAATGCATTTCTTAGCCAGATTTGGTGGTGCACACCTGTAATCCCAGACACTTGGAAGACTGAAGGAAGAAGATCACAGGCTTAAATTTAGTGAGATCCTGTCTCAAAATAAAAATTGAAAAATATCAGAGGATGTAGTCCAATTGTAGAGCACTCGCTTGGCATGCATGAGGCTCTGGAATTGATTCCTAGCACTGCACACACACACACACACATACACAAACACACTCACACACACAAATATATTTCTTTTCATTGAACAACAGGCATTATTTACAAATAAGTCATTATAAAAAAAAAAAAACAGCAAAATGTTCCTAGTGTGGTGGAGTACACCTGCGATCCCAGTGGCTTAGGAGGCTAAGGGCAGAGGACTCCAAGTTCAAAGCTGGCCTCAGCAATTTAGTGAGGTCCTCAGCTCTATCTCTATATAAAAACATAAAAAGGGCTGGGGATGTGTCTGAGTGGTTAAACACCACTGGATTCAATCCCAGGTACAAACAAAACAAAACAAAACAAAAAACAGCAAAATTATAAAGTTTTACATTTTATGTTCCCTTTAATAATCTTATCTAAAATGTTCACCTCTGTTCCTAAAAATTAGTCTTATAACACACACACACACACACGCACACACACACACACACACACACACACACACAAACACAATCTAGGGAAGCAACAAAATTTATTTATGTACCATAAATGAAGCTAATGTATATTTTATATATGTAAAAGCTGAAGCTATTACTTGCTTTCTATTTTTCTCAATCAATGTCCAGATAAAATTACATTTATATATATTACAAAGATCAACATATGACATATGTCCTATACTTGCTCATTACATTAGATGAAACTGTTGCTTTATTTGTTCTAAAATAAATTCAAGGACTTTCCAGAATTATCTTTTTTAGAGGGAAATTCTAAGTTCCTCTTTGACCCGGATATTATCTTTCTTAATCACTGCTCTGCTATTAAAATAGTGTGCATAATAGGAAGAAATAACAAGCATTTATTGAATGAATGAGTAGCAATATAGAGCTAATTTATACAACTGCATTATATTTAATTTAAATGACTTTACACTTACAATAAATTTTAGATTGGAGACTTTACTAATTCTTCTAGTCCCAGAAATTCTAAACCAGATAGTAGCAGAGGCAATTAATTTTAAACTCCAAATACATAAATATAAATCACATGAACAGGTAAATGTCTTACAAATTTAAAATGCTACAATATTCTGAAACCTTCATAAAATATCAGTTTTCAGTCTTTTCCAACATTTGTAAAATGACAGTAAATTTTGCTAAGTGACAATGTTTAGTTTTTCTATTAAATTGAAATCCCCAAGTTACCTTGATTGTGTAGAAATACAGAAAATAAATTATACAACTTTTCACTAAGGGTACAATTACACCACTATATATATTCAAACACTTAACAGACCCTGTATGCCCATATGACTAGAGATCATTTAGCTAGGTGTTCTGTTTCAGAGATACCATATCTATTTATCTACTAAATAAATACTACCCATGTGTTGACTGAATTTCTACTGCAGAAAAGTATCTCAGAAACTTTGAGCGACCAGTTGGGAAAAATGTTGAAAGGTAAAAACTATACATAACAAGCTCAATAAAATATGAAAATTGGGTTAACTGCAAACTGAATAAAGTGAAGCAATGGAAAAGTACATATTTTGATACCTCTTAAAGATTATCTTGAAGTGTATTGAAAGCACTGATGGTATTTTTAAAGACCTACCTGATAGACTGACCCTAGCCCTTGAAAATATTTTGTTTAAAAACACGATATACATAAAACTTAAAAGAACTGGGTGTCCTACTTTAAACCAGACATATTTTAATATACCCCAAAGCCTAAACTTCTTGAATAAGCGTATACAATAACAAATCAAGGAAACTGAAATTAAACTGTCAACCAATATAACTAAGAATAGGCTGGGTGACAAATTCTAATATACTCTAAAGCACCTGAGAATTTTTATTTATTTACATAAAAGCAAAAATAATATACAATTATACATCAATATTTAATAGTCAATATTCAATAAATATGCTGCAATAAATGCTCATCAAGATAGAACTCTTTCAAATGGATCCTAACTTTACTGTGTTTAAATGATATCATATTCTATACTACTCTCATTTTAGTAAGATATTCTGAGGTGCTTTATTAGAGCTGGGTGCAATTACCAACGGAATCGCAACATATCTAGCTCTGGTTCTGGAAAGCAAATATGTCACAACCAACATTTTTCTTGGTTATCCTTCACTTGGTGGCCTAGGAGACTCAAGTAGCCACTTGTCTGTTAGGACATGACTAGTACCTGTCATTCTCCGGAGATGCATGCTGGATTTGAATCCTGGGACTAGGAGGTCGTCTCCTATCTAGGGAGGGGGACCATCTACCCCTGGTTGCCCAGTGAACAAGACAGGAAAAAACAGGACATTTAGTAACTCCTAAAATAAAAGAATATATGGAACAACAGGACTGGAATAACACCCCAAAAAGACAAAGTGTTTATTCTTTGCTCTATAATTTAATTTTCACTTTTACAAGCTCAGAAAGATAAGTTATAATATTATAAGGAAATAAAATCTGTAATATTACAAGTGAATACAGAAAAACATGTTTGGGAAGATGTTTAGAACCCATCAAGTGTAATTTTATTTCATAAAAATGTACCTGTGTATATACATATCTATATTCATACATAAATATGAATATAATTGTTTCAAAAGATGCATTGTTAAGAATCTCACTTATGTTTGTATAAAATAAGTTTAATACGCCACCACTGCTTATTTGATACCAGAAGGGAAAGTATTGGTGGCAAATGTCAGGTGTGTGAATTTAACACAGGAACACAGTTACATGGAAGAAATAAAAATACTCTTAAGTATAGAAACAATGACATGAAATAATTCATGGGAAGATTCTRAGGGAAGTTTTAACAAATTTTCTTGTACCAAACTGCAGCTAATTACTCACTGATAAATTAAAATGTGGAATACAGACAAAAAAAAATGGCAAATTAGCAATGTGCTTAAAAATTCTGCTACACTTTATGTGCAAAAATGTCTTTCAATTGGTTAAACAGTTGTATTTTGTTTCATATTTACACCAACATTTTTTTGTGACTAACAGGTAGACAAAAGTTTGAAACTTCATTGATTCTTTTATCAAAGTATCATGAGATTTATAACCATAATTAGGGAAATCTACTTGAAAACTAAAAAAAGGGAATTAAGGGCAAAATAAGCCAGGCTTAAATTTCTTTTTTCTTAATGTATTAGATAAGAGCTATTTTAGGATACTTTCTCTAGATATTGTCTTTTTCATATACAACAAGGGGCTCATTTACATATAAGATTCTATAATAACAAAAGGAGATTAGTCCTTATGATTCTTTTAAAAAGTCATCTTTAGGGCTGGGGTTGTGGCTCAGTGGTAGAGTGCTTGCCTAGCACATGTAAAGATCTGGGTTCGATCCTCAGCACCACATAAAAATAAATAAATTCAATAAAGGCATTGTGTCCAACTACAACTAAGAAATAAATATTAAAAAAAGAAAAAGTCATCTTTATGTCATTATACCTTGACTTACTATATTTATTCAACTATAAGACAAAAGCAGCAGAGGACTATCAACTTGTAGCCCGGATATTTGAGCTCAGCAGGTACTCAATTCTAAAAGCCCCTTGGAAGCCTTTACTTAATCATACTTAGATGGAAAGATTCAGCATAATTCAAGCTGAGCTTTGAGGAAGTCTTCAGGAAAGTGGGAACATTCAATAACAGAATTAGAGCAAAAGAGAAAATTATGCCACATGTACTCTTAAATGTTTTATGTATTTGTTAAATTTAAAACATTCTGCACTCATTTTGAATTAATTAATTATTTTTAATTACTTAAATTATTTCAATCTGAATGCTTTAAAATGATTCTTTGCAATTTACTGGCTTTATTTTAGGGATGAAATAAAGCAAAATGCTTCTAAGAAAATTGGAAAATAATTATAATTACAGTGCTTTCTATACTGTTATGTTCAACTGTGTTTTGAAATTATTTGAAAATATAAAAATGGTTAATATTTTTCTGTGAAGCAGTAATTTTAACTTAACAGGATTATTAGTAACCTTCCTTCCTGAGGCAAAATTCCAGTCCTGTGTTTATTTAAACATGATAGTAAAAAAACAAAACTAACAAAAACCACAGCTATAGTTATGAAACATGCAGTGCAAGCTATGGAGGAGGAAGGTGAACATTYAGAAACAAGCAACTGTGAAACTGTGAAGGCAAACTACTAAGAGGTCATTTTTGAATAGTATTTGGCATAATACATATATCTCTATACCCAAAGTCCTTCTGAATATGCTGATATATAGAAACCATATAACAAATATTTTGTTTTTCCCTCATATAGTGGATATGATGAGGGCAATATCTATTTATACCTAATTTTTTGTCCTAACAACAGATATCACTTAAGTTTTAATATCACATAGTTGGGAATTTCAAATATACTAGTATATTTTATATGCTGTTAAAATGTGTGAAACTTTCTCTTTCTTCTATCACATAGAAAGTCCAAAAGTAATACCTTTATGCCATTCTCTCTCCTCCTTTCTAGTTATTGATAAATATACAAAGCTTCAAGTTCASTTTCTATTTTCATATATGGCAGTTTATGTTGGAAATTTTAATCATGATGTTGAACTAAACTAACCCTTTCCTGATTCCTTTTACAAATCATCCTCCATCTATGTTAGTTACTTTTTTTTAGTAAATTATTAGTACTTTTTTTTGTCAAGTGTGCTAAATTCATTAATACAGGAACACCTACTTGTTGAATGATTATTTGAAAATATTTAAATAGACAATAAATAAGACTTTAAGCTTTGTGGTAATCCAGGCAAGAAATGAGAACCCGTAAGTAAAAAATTAACAGTGATGATATACATTGGAGACTCACTGATGAGATATAAAGAAATACAACTCATGGGCCCCTGTAAGCAATTAAATGATGGTTATACTGTGGCTTTCCACCCTTGCCCTGATAAACATTACAGCGAATGCATATTTAAATGTGCTATTCCATGCTTGCATAAATATACACATCCTTTATTGATGCATTTTTCTTAGCAGTACATTCATTATCTAAAATGTAGCAGCTTCATCATCTAAAAGAAAAATTGTATGGGAATCATTCATTCCATAAACAGCACAAATCAAAAATACTTATGAGGTATTATAATACAAATTGAAAGCAAATGAGATAACTGACTACACACACATGTATTTTATTGTGTATTCCTATTTAACACATCAGTCCTTCAAAGACATTTCTCTTAATACTGTGTTAAACTGACTTTGACTTAGTTTAATTAATATAGATACTATACTTTGAAATGAGATTAATAATATTTATTTTAATTCATTTTACAATTGATTTTCAGGTGGGAACTTTGTTTCCCTTCAGCCCATGTTTGCATGTTGAGGGAAATAAGTAACACTTTTCTGCATTGCACCAGAAGGAAGGAGGAGTGGCTTGTATAATAGGTGACTTTACATTAAAGAATCAGCCACATGCGACTTAGCTCTTTCTTGATTCATCTTCCTACAAAAGACAATAGTAAATAAACCTGCAATGCAGCCATGAGATATGAGGCCTGACCTTGTAGCAGAAGTATCTTGTGGTTCATTGAAATGGCTAGTGCTGGGGTTAGTAACTTGCAGGCTCACAGACCTAAAGCCACAGGTTTCAAACTTATTCACTGTACTTATGGTAATATTTAGATCCCCTATCTATCTAGTGCCTTGGGTCTAGCTCACAATAAGATCCAAATTTGGGATTGGAAAAGAGAAAGTGCCTAAGTCCCCCACTTCCCAACTTAAACTCTAAGTAAAATAATATTGCTCTTACTAGACATGAAAAACACAAACATGATAGGATCCCTGCCCTCAGAAGGTTTATGATATAGTGGAAGAAACAAATACAATACCAAATGAAATACAATGTGTTTTAATTGAAGTATACAAAATTATGTAGGAGTCAGAAAATAAAAAACTTGTGACTGGCAAAAGGAAAGGAAGGGTGGAGAGTGGATTAAGGAAGGTCTTGCAAAAGATCTGAACTTGCCCTGAATTTTTGAAGAATGAGTAGAATTTTCTAGCAGACAAAAGATGAAAAAAGAAATTAGAAATTTTAATGGGAATAAAAGTTAAAACATGAATACTATTACTAGAGCTTATTAGAAATTTAGTCAGGACAGAAGTGATAAGGGAACTGGAGAAGGGCTAAAATGAAGGTGAGGATCTACTTTGAAGAAATCATTGGGTTTACTGATTCACTGAATTTGAAGCAAAAATATCAATGCTTCCAGACTATGCAGTTAGTTATATGTCAAAGCCATAAAATGAGAAGAGATTTTAGGAAAGGAAGGCATTTGTTGTAAAGGAATTGAAAAGGAAATAATCTAGTAGTGTTGGACATTTTTATGAACTCAGTGTCTGTCACCCAGTTAGAAACTTGGGCCCAGTGCTCAGGAGGGAAGGTCTGGCATAGTGAGTCACAATAGAGAGCAGTCTTCATAGGTATTAGAGACTTTGACAGAAATACAATGTAAGAGACAGCTTAGGTGGGATAAAAAGGAGAAACAGGGTGAAAGTTGGAAAATACCTATCATTATGGGATAGAGGAGGAAGAGAAACTTACAAAAGAGACAGGCATAAGAAAAAGAGGTACTCAAGGAAGCAGAGATTTAAGTGGCAGGGTGGTTAATGTAAACTGCTGCAACATGCTGACGAACAACGTAATATGTAGGTAATGTAACACACAGAGGAATTTCTCCGTAGCAATAATGTAGTAGGGGTAGGAGTGAGACTCCAGGATTTACTGGAAGCCTGAAAAAAATGGAGGCGGTAAGTACAGACTAACCTTTTATAAGCCTTCAGTAAGGTTGTAATTGTTATGAAAGGTAATGAGAATAAAAAATATTCAAGATAAAGTAACTATTTTTCAGTGGCTCTAAAAATCAATGTTTTTAAACATTTAAGCAATAATTTTCTTAAAATCCTGGAGAAATTAATAGCATGCCTATAACACACCCCAAGGGCAAAATTAGGGTAATTTACAGAACTGTAGTAATCAACAGCATTTTTTTTATTTATATAACCAACAAAATATAAAATGGAGGAGCTTTTAAACTTCCCTTCCAAATAATGCTTCTACAGATATGACTCAAAATACCTATGTTAACTTGAGCCATACATCTAATAAGAGAGAAAAGGAGGAGGATCTGAGGGTTTCCAGTTCCTTCAGGAAAAGGATGCTGCCTCTTTATCTTTCAAATCATCAGTAAAGTATGGTCTTGGATATTGAGTTTGTTTTGACAATTTCACCCTTTATGCTAACATCAAACCATTTGTTTTAAAAGTTAGTGAGGAGGTTGGGGCTGTAGCTTAGTGGTAGAGCTCTTGCCTAGCACATGTGAAGCACTGGGTTCTACCCTTAGCACCACATAAAAATAAGTAAATAAAATAAAGGCATGCTGTCCATCTATAACTACAAAAATAGAAAAGTTAGTGAGGATACTTCAAAAAATGGCCATTGAGTTGGTATAACAAAATTTAAATGGCAATCAAAATGAGTCAGAATCCTCAAATCATTGAAACTTAACACTTAATGTTTCATAAGGATGTTACTATGTTAAAAATATAAAATTAATTTTGGCAAAGAGGTGACACTTATCCACTATGTAAATATTAGACATTAATACCATAAGTCTCATGATCAACCAGAGAAATTAAGCAGTTGGGAAAGTCCTATATAGCTTTCTTCCTATTCTCTGCACATCATGCCTGGGACTTTAACAGTTCTCCAAAAGGAAGAGTCTTGTTTTCAATACTGTTATGTTCTGCTTCAAAGCTTCTCGTAGGTGAATGCACAAAAGGGCATTTGTAGTCCCAACCTTCCAAACCAATAAGCATTTACAATTTCTGTAATTTACTTGATGAAAATTTGTCTCATTTGTTTTTCATGGTGACAAAATGATCTGAACAAATTAATAATCATTGATATTGTCTTAGATTTTTTAATGGAAAATTTCTTCTTATTCAATATAAAGAGTAAGTATATTTTCAATCCAATTTTTCCTCTTATATTAATGGTAATTATACTCATTGGAACTTCATGTTAATCTATGTAATTAATATGTGTGGCCAGCTTAATGGTAGAGATTGACCTGTTTCAAGGGCTATTATTTGAGAGGTTAAATTCAGCAACCTACAGATTTGTAAATTCTGTGGCTTCAATGAGGGTACATATGCTAGATAGGCTTCCCCATAAGAACAGACTCACACTGTCCAATAAACTAGCCATAAGAAAGTAGCTAGTCCAAATTAGAGAGTGCCATAAATACATCATACACTTAGCATGTATGACTTGTTATGAAAAAGGAATGCAAAATATTTCACTAATACTATTATATTAATGATATATTTAAATAACAGTACTTTTAATATACTAAGTTGAAGTGTTACTTTCACCTTTTCAACATGGGTACTAGCAAATTTGAAATACACCTGTGGTTTGCATTATATTTCTATCTGCACTGACCTAGATGATGGTGAAAATGTTAGATGTGTTTATAATCACAAGAYTCCACTGGCCTGAGCAATTCTGCCCATGTTATAAGGCTAATAAGAAACATATAAATAATAATAGAAAAAATAGTAAGTTTTTGCCACTACCCTTGTAATTATTGTGTGTGAGGGGGATATATGAAAAGAGAGAAAGGTAAAACTACTTCAACTGTGATTTTAGGAGTTTATAGTCATTTCAACTAAAATTTCTATTATAAATGCAAAGGAATACAAAATAAAAATTAATTTCTCTCTATGATTAATTTTACAAATATGAATATTACAGAATAAAAGAAGGTTTTTTTGTAAAATCTTATCAAGATGCTATAAAATAGAAATGAATATTTGTATCAATTTTTTAATACCAGAAATAAATTACTGATAGAGTACAAAAATTGTTAAGGGAAAACTTTAAGCACCCTCTGAAGAATAAGTGGCTTTCATTAGTGTCACTAAATAATTTTTCTTCAGGATTTATAAAGAGGTAGCATTCAAATATCCTCTAAATGACTTCTAAATAAAAAAGATAGCAATTATAATCAAGACTACCAATTATAACTAAATTTACTGGAATAGAAAGTTCTTTTACAATGGGAAAATGAGATAMAATTAAAAGACAGTATAACACAATCACTGAGTGAGTCTGAATTAAAATCAGAATTATTATTACTCAAGCAATTAAAAATTTTTAAAAAGTACATGTGCATACATACATTATATATTGTATGTATTTATTTGGTAAGGCATCAAGAAATCTGATTAACATATGACTCCTCTTGTCAAAATATAATTTAATGCAAAATATGACATATATAAAAGAGCACATTAATTCAAAAATGAAGATAGATGCATAAGGGAAGTATTTTATCTAAACTGAATTCCTATTTTGAGTTTATGGAAGACTGCTCTTAACTCATGGGAAGGTGATCCACCCCTGGAGAAATTGACTGGACCTTATAATAGTATCAGCATACTGAAGGATCCCTGAGTAGTATATAAATAAAAGGACTGAAGAGCAACAAAAGTAGAAAAGCAGCAGCCAGAAGCAATTACAAATTACATCACACCATTTTCAACATTCATAGAAATACGTGTATGGGCACTCTTAGTTGTATCCACATACGCGTATCTCTGTATAGACATGTGTAATAAGTGGGGGGGGGGAAATGTAGACAATTAGCACAGTGAACATGAATGAATAATCCTGTGAGACTCACATGAAACAAAACAAAGTGATTGAAAAAAAAAATCACCAGTACAAATGATAAGAAATTAAGAAAGTCTTTATTTTATACCTTTCTCGTTCTGGTGAATGCAAACTAGTATCTGGTCTCAAGCAGTTGGTACTAGCACTCCTAGCCCTGTCAAGGGAGGGCTGCAGTTCACTAGTGCCAGTGCATTGCATCCAGTGGTAGAAGAGAAAGACAGAGAAAACAAAGAAAGGAAGACCATGTTAGAGAGTAAAGCATAAAATAATGTTCTCTTTACATAAAATGTAGAATCACTGTGATTCAGTTCATAAGGGTGTGAGATAGTTGATAGGATGACAGTGCAAAATTTTGTTTAGAAAATGAAACTAAACAAAGATTATGCTTAAATTGATTTGCATAATTTTAAAAGAGGATTTCAGACTGAAATATGACATTAAATCACACCTACTTATGAAAAAACTGGATACAGGAAGCACTAAAACAAAAATGCCTAAAATTTCATTACCAAGAACAAATGCCACACCAAAACAAAATGAAGGACATCAGAGGAGAAATAATCATACAGCTCAACTTTTTGGTTTCACAACAATAGACAAGTGAGTGGAAGGCAGCACTTCCAGATGTTCTTACCTAACCAATATCTCATCAGTAAATCTCAACACTCTTGAGTTAAAGCCTTCATGATGAAGGGGAATGTCCTGTCTAGTCACTGATTTGGTCTTAGAATATGCAGGCAGAATTGAGCTTCACAAATTAAAATTACACACAAATAAAACAAAATGAAATTAATTACTGTAATTAAAATCAACAAGTAAAACAATAAATAAATGACAAAGAAACACACTAGAATTCTGACATGGGTGTTCAGATTTCATTTAGAGAATTATTCTATAATTAATGTTTTATAACTAAAACAATGTAGATATTATTAATGGTTCTCACTATATAATTTCAAAAGAGAATATTAATGCTTTATAAGAATGTAAACTTTCTATTTTTAGTAGGCAAGGGATTAGGGATTAGTCTACAACTAGGGCTCACTTCTATGGCTCTTACCTGTAGATATCCCAGTGAGAGCCGTTCTGTAATAAAGGCATCTTGGGTGGTAATGTTTTACAGTGCCTAACAAGATGTCTGCAAAGTGGCAACACAAACATGCAGGGAACAGAAAAATATTTATAAAGCAAAATTTTACTAGGACATAAAGAAAATAGGAGGCCAACAAAGTTATGTAGATGAATTTATTTTTTTCTGCAAAGAACCACAATAATTACTTGAAGCCAGGATCAAAATTAATAAAATGTGAAATTATAGATACCTGACTTTACCATACTCAAAATTATAATTGCCTTATTTAGAAAAATAACTGCTAGCTAAGTTCTATGAATTTTTATTAACCAATCTTAAAATTATGGTTCCTTTATGAAAGTAAATATCTCATAGCTAAAAATACAAATCAAATAGTTTATGTAATTTGGGAGTTAAAATATAACTAAGAAAGTAAAAATTCTGCTTTAAAAACAAGCAAAGAATTGACCAGCATTACAGGAATAAGGCTGGACATGGAAATGTGTTCAGTAAAACAAAGAAAAAGAAAAAGGCAACCAAGAAGTGACTGCCAAGGAAAAAGATTCATTTATCTGCTTCTGGATCCAAATCTAATTTACCACTGGAAATTGGGTGAGGTAGACATTTGATATAAATTCGAATTTGAATATTGAATTGGCATAAAATGGTAGAAACAAGGCCCAACTTTGCCTGAATCCCCTAAAATCTATCAGTGCTTCTGGACTGTATAAGCCATGAAGGGCAAATCAGTCCATTAATTAATTTTTTGGTAAATAATAATGTTCTACAAAGTTAATTACTCATTTTAATTACTCATTTTAGTTTAAAGTATGATGAATAGGCAGGGAGTAAACATTTGCCAAGGACATACTAATTATCAAACACTGTCCTGGTTTAATTGTGGTTATGCCAATGGTCAAATCAGAGGGAGCCCCTGAAAACTTCAGTTTGAAAATTTAGCAAAAGAGCATTTTCAAGTGCACACTACAGGAAAAGTTTATTGACACAAAGGATTCTACCAGTTTTACAGAGTGGTCTTTGCTAACCCTAATATTGGACAAATATCTTTGTAATAGGTTGCTACAAAATTTTTCTGAGCAATTGTTTCAAAAAGTTATTTTTTTTCAGGATCATTCTAATCAGAGATTGACATGGAATGAAAAACAGAATGGAAAATAGCACAAAATTTGTAGTCTGAATGCTTAATCTTTTATAAAAACATGAGCACAAACACCTTGACTTTGCCACTTACTAGCTCAGACTGGAAAAATTCAGGTCAAAACCCTAAGCTTATTTCTCTATCTACAAAAGGGGAAAATAATATCTATTTAACATAATGTAGTGAGCATTAAATATGATGATAGATATAAAGTATTTATATCTGATATGACACTCTCTACATGAGCACTTCCTGAGGAAAGGTTTTATGAAAACAAGTATTTGGTGATAAATAATTTAGGGGAAATGGATTAAATAACATGAGAGAGGTTTCTTTAGTACATGATTTTAATACCATATGCCTAATAAATCTCCAAGGAGGGACTTTGTAAAGTTTTTGAACTCTTTTATTGACAGAACATCTCACAAGAAGAATTATTGTATTCCTGGAAAAACTAGTTAATTGGAAAATATGTCAACCTGATTTCAAATCCTTATTCTGTTATGTATCAAATTTAGCTATTTTCCTAATCTGTAAAATGAAGATAATATGCACATTAAGTGCTGTAGAAAATTGAGATGAAGTAAATTAAATATTTAACATTGTGCTTGGTATGCAATAAATTTTATTTTTCTTATGTATATTGGAGATTATAAAATCCTTAGATTTTATTTTTTTTAAAGTTCTAAGTGAACATGTTATGGACAGTTTTTATACCACTGGTTAAGATTCATCCATGAAAGTTATATTAATAATAAATTTCTGTAATTATTATGAAATCAAACTACATTATTGCTATATCCACAAAAAATTGGTGGTTATTTATGTGCACATATACACATATATGCATTTATTCAAATACAGATAAAATTCTTTTATAAATACATGAGTACAAGTGCAGAAGAGATTCCATTTACATACATATATTCAAACTCATGTTTTCTCTATCTCTATATTTTTAGAATTACACATAAGGGAGTAAAAGAAAGGGTAGGTTTTTTTTTGTTTTTTTTTTTTAGGTATAAACCCAATATTTTTTATTTTTATTTTTATTTTTTTTATTATTGGTCTTTCAAAATATTACATAGTTCTTAATACATCATATTGGTAGTTTTTGAAAATTAAGGAATAAAATGATAGTGGTTACAACTTTATAACAAAAAAATATATAATTGACAGTTGTGGAATCAGTTAAATGAAACAATTACTGCTACTATTTAAAAAATCAGGAAGGGGTGGAAAAGAGGAGATATTAGTGACATGTTCTGAACTATACACTTGGTTAGTTCTACTTCTACTTCCTGGTATTTTTTTTTGTAACAGTGTTTCATAGCAGGGCTTTATCTGCCTCAGTTGAACATTCAGTTATATATATATTCAAGATATAATGAGGCTAACATAAAGCATCAAGCTTTTCTTCTAACATGCAAAATGAATGTACCAACTGTATTAAACAGATATTATATATGGATTTCTGAATTATTAGTAAAGCATCGATCTTAAGGATAGATTGTGTGAAATGATGCAACTACTAGTATATCGTATTTTGTATATCCCAATATTTCACTTTCACCAGAAAAAAAATAAGGAAAATTTTTTTTGCAATTCTCTTTAGACTACAGGTATGAATGTATTAGGAATACACACTGGGTGTCAGGCAGATACAATATTTATTAATAAACATAAAGAGTTTGTGAGTATATCTGTTTTGAGTTTTTTTTTTCTTTTTTTACATTTGTAGTCACACCAATAGAAATAAGAGAAAACCTCCAGAATTAGCAAACAAAACATACCTATTAGCAAACTATTTGTTTGGAAGGACATCTAATAATAAGCATGAATGATTTATCATAAGTAATTTAAGGTGATTTTTATAATATTTATAATTTTATATTTTTCCTCAGTTGGCAAGCAGAGCTAATTACTTCAATATTTTTTCCTGTGGCACTCCAAAAAGTAGAATAATTTCAGACACATAAAAATTGTGTCTAATTTTTGTATTTAATTTGGATTGAACAGAACAACATTTGCCCCAGACACAACAAATCTGGCACTTGTCTTTGCATTTAGTTATACTCCTTTCTTTCTTGATCCTCTTATTTTTTAATTGGCTAAAATATTTGAAACATGTTTTGTGTGTGTGTGTGTGTGTGTGTTTCTTGATTGATTACTTTCTTATTTTTCTGTTAAAGACTTAGATTGACAATAAATATTGATGGACTATAATCCATGAGCAACATGGAAGTTTTTTTTTATTTGAAATTCAAGATATAATGAGATATAATGAGCATCAAGCTTTTAGTTCCGATTTAGAGGCAAGTATTACATACTTTTTCTCCTAATTTCTAAAGAGGTATCATACTGTTACATGCCTTTAAGGGAAAGTTAAAATTGCAAACAAACTTCTAACTGGCAGGGGTGGGTAGTTACGAAGTTGACATGTCAAACACTGTCACTCTTTTTTAAGAAAGAAGCAGAAGCTTAGCCATTAAAAATGAACTGGTAGGGCTGGGGTTATGGGTCAGCAGTGGGGCATTCACCTAGTATGTGCAAGGYACTGGGTTTCATCCTCAGAACCACATAAAAATAAATAAAAAATAAAGGTATTATGTCCAACTACAACTAAAAAAAATTTTTAAATGAACTGGTAAACACTGCAATAAAAGCAAACAGAACATAAATAACAGTATATTCTGAAAGAAAATTTTAAAAAGCAAAATTATAATCATGAAAACAGTAACATTGCCATGCACAAATCAGAACTCTTGTGACTAGACAGGTATGTGTGTGGAGGTGCTCATAGTGAGCATTTAGAATTTTCATTTTAGAAACTGTTTCCTCAGTTTTATGAACATGAAAATAGTCTCACAGAGGCTCAACAGTCTCTGGATTTTGAAATATACAGATGGCAATATTGTTTGCCTGGATTAGAACTGAAATATGATTGGAAATTTTTTCATAAACTCCATATACAATGAAAACAATTTTTGGATACTTGGGAAATTTATTTTACCTGTATGTCATAATAACAATAAGGGAGAGATGGAAGAATAGTAGAATGGAGAGAGTCATCACACACAATCACCATTACCAGTTCCCTGTATTTACCTGGTAGTATGTAGGCATTCTGCACTTCGTCCTCGTTTTGCTCTGGGCAGCATAAGAAGCTCACTGCACAGACAGGATGGGTGGTGAGTGAAACAGATAAATTATGAAGCATTAAATGACATGGATTATGCCAATGGTATGCAGATGGAAACATGAAAGGGGAAGAAACCAGATTGTCTGCACTAGCATATTTGCTTGAGAGGTTAAACAAAAATAAACATGAYAGCATTTAAAAAAGTTAAACAATAAAGTACAAACATTATGGTTGAAGTCCTAGCTATTACTGACTTGCTATTGTCTTTCAAAATGATTTCACAGACTATAAAAACAAAACAAAAATAAACCTTACCCAAATAAGATAAGGGAGTGATTTCCAAGTGTAGACATTTGAATATTTATTAAAAAATACAAAATTTGATTTTATGATTCTAATTGGAACCCTAAAACTTTTATTTATTTTTAGCAACTTAAGATAGTTTTCTTAGCTCTAACAGCCACAGAAAATGCCATACCATATCTTTTTTCTTAAACAATTAGGAAGGTACTTGATTAGGAGTTTTTCTTTTAAAAATTGACACTTTTTTCTTTATCCAAATTAGTTTCACTATATTGATTTCCTTGGTCAGGTGACCCTTTGTTTTTCCTCCTCAGTAAAATTCACTGAGTGCTAAATCAATGTCAAAAAAGCAAAGCAGCCTTCAATCAACTCAGTTCAAGCTTAACGGTCTGGAATCCTATTTCTCAGAGCATTTCCCTGTCCCAGTGTCCAGGGTGACTCCCCTCTTGTAGGGCATGGCACCATATCCCACAGCAGGGTAACAATTAGGAGGTAAGAAGCTCAACTTGGCCTCTGGTCCTTGTCTTCATGGCAATTAATCATTCAGCACTACCATCATTTCCCTACTCCTCATGGAAAGTTTCTCTACTTTGAAAAGCCAGAAGAGAATATTCAACAAGGGGGATAATAAAAATCAGACCCTGAACTTATGGTCAAGTTATAGTGCAAACGTGGTTACTCTGGGGAGAAAGGCTGTGAATGTGTGGGAAAACAAATTCATAATGTAGACTTATAATAAATTTCCAAGAAATATATGTACATAAATAAGTGCAGAACTAAATTACATGGTTATTCAAAAGACTCCATCTCAACATTTAATATTTTATAGACATTTCTGGAATAATATTTCAGAAAAATTGAGGTATATGATAAAAACATTAATAGTGAAGTTCTCTCCAACACTCTGCAATATTAATTTCCAGATGACCCATTTCCAAAAGGTTTTTAATTGCATAAATAACAATCTTTATAATTAGAAAAATAACATCCCAACCATTGTGACCCATAAAAGATAAATATTTGAAACTTGTTCATGTAGGCTCCCTTCTAAAATTTAGGTTGGTGTCTAACTCAACAACAAATTTTGCCTTTACAACTAGATAGACATGAAGTGTAACTTTTGGGGAAAAAAAGTTTTATAACAATATATTGTTGTCCAAATATTTGTAGAGTTGCATTTTTATAAGAACATCTTAACAGCTGTTCCTTGAGAGAAGTTGTGTTTTGAGTGATGACATATGTTTACTCTTTAATGTAGTATGCCACAATATTTGTGCACATTAAAACAGAAAAAAGAAAAACTTGTAATGTTGAGATCATAATTTGGACAAGTACCTGTCTTGTTCTGATAAATACTGACTATCCACATCTCTGGATCTGTGATCAGCAGGACTTCGGGAGGCATCATGGTGTCTGGTTGGAGAACGTGATCTTCTTGTTGGATGAATTTCATCTAAGCTCCTAAAATGATGATAAAAATGTATTAGTCAAAGTGCATCATCTTCTCAGACAGACAGACCAAGAGGAAGAAACTGATAGCAATGGTAAACAAATGACATGGCTTAAAAAGTGCTGCCATCATACCCCAAATCTATTTTAATCAATGAGTTAAAAGTATTTATTCTCTAGGTTTTGGCTGTGCTGCATTTCTTCAACCTTCTCTAGCATCTTTATCAAAAAAGGACCACAATTTTTCATCTGCTTAATTACAACCACTGAAGAGTATTGCAGGATGAGATAAAACACAGTATATATTACAGATATTTCATCTACTTCTCCAAGCTTTTAAAGTGCTTCAAGGAAATAATAATAAATCTCCTAAAAATACATTCTGCCTCCTAACCTTATCCTTTGTCGATTCACTGCACAGTTCTTATTGATTACTATAAAATTTYTCCTGAAAGGAGGGAAAACTCACAAATATAAACAGTTTCTCAAAACTTATCCTTAGAACATAAACTTCTTTCACTCTCTGAAAAATTTCTTAAGATTAAAGAACAGATTGCTGCATAGGTTGGATAAAGAATAAAGAAGCATTTGTCTACAAACAATTCTGAAAAAAAAATAATTTGACTGACCTAACCATTGTTTCATTTCAGTTAAGAGTCTTGCAGAAATTCACAATGTGTTTTTAATTAAAAAATACAGGGACACTAAGCCTACCTCTGTAATGGCACATTTGGTAAACGTGAACGCGGCCTTCCCTGATCATCGCCGCGATGAGGAGATACTGAACGTGAGCGGTGATGAGTTGTTCTTTGCTGTTCTGGCACAGTTAATGTTGTTGATTTACTTTCTCTAGCACTAGACCTATAACCCACTGGCAAGAGTATACACAAAAAAATTGTTAGTACTTTTTTATAATGCACACATTAACATGGACATATTAAATTATGTTAAAGCATTTACTGACCTATTAATATTAAATGCCATGCAATCATTAGCCTTATTCTCAAATGTATTAGGTATATGGACACAGAGTGTGATAAATACATGCATAAGAACAGGTTGCAATTTGGTTCTATGCTACCATTGAGAAACTGAATGTAAACATGACAGATGATGCCTCAGACATTAGGATGAGTTGGGATACTATTTAAATAAAGAAAAAATGAATTAATTACTTTTCAGCAACATAAATGAAGCACTTGACAGTGAATTATAGTTGATATACAAATCAATGCTTAGAAATTTTATGTCTCTTTCAATTTAAGTTTTTCATTTAAATTTTTCTTCCAAATAATAAATTATTTTATTTTAGTTGGACTATAGATGGCCTAGTAAAAAAAAATGAAACTATCATATCAATTTTAATTTAAAAATGAAAATAATACCATGCCAATTTTAATTTATGAAGAAGGGTAGCAGCTCTTTATTATTACAAATACTGACTGTGAATTTTGCAAACCAGAGATAAGACTATAATTGTCAAATTAAGAATTATATGAGTAGAGATGATTATGGCAATGCAGAGAAATCAACCTTAACAACCTTAACATATAAAACTATTCCATAATTTTGTTAATTATTATCATAAGCTAATATAATTAAGACAAATACAATTAAAATAAATTCTAATGGCCATTTCTCCCATGAAGCAAAAAGGTTTATATCTTCTCTGGTTTGATTAAAATAAAATAGTTATCTCAAATCCATAATAATGGTTTAGAATTTAAAATTTCTTCAAAAGCATCACTGTTTCCTACCAGAGCAAGAAAAATTAAAAATATAATGTGTAGTAATACAGTTCTATTTACAACTACAGTTCTATTTACAACAACTACATAAAACGTACATGAACCATGAAAATCTAACTGGACAGAGCTCATGCTTTTGTTCATTTTTTTATYTGATAACTCCCACATCCTTTTAAAAATATGCCATAAAACATCACTTACAAATAATTCCTCAGCAGTTTATCTGTTGTGACTACATCATCTCATGACTAAATTTTAAAACATCACTATGGTTTTTAAATGTCTCATAAAGTGAAATAAGATAACACTGAGATAAAACAAGTTCAAACTACTTTGTTATAGTGTTAAAAACATCATTATACTGACCAAAAATGATACCATAAATGGCATAATTTGTAAATGCATATATTTCAGTTTGTTGTCAAATAAATGGCTATCCATTTTTTTAGTTTTATGTAGAAAATAKTTTTGGTATTCAGATGTATAAATTGTAATATAAAGATGAGAAACAGGTAGCGAATATACTTCACAGCTCATTATAAAAATGGTCMAAATTTTCATGGATAAGGAATCCAAAGTTAGACTTACTTAACATTTTAAATTACCATTTGGTATCAATTATACAATAGTTTGGAACATCAATACTGAATTAGAAACATGATCAATTTCAAGATTTCAATTAATATTCAAGGTATATACTAGATGTAGTATAGTTAAATATTAAGAGAGAAATTCTAAAGAATTTTGCTGTTAAAATATATAATTAATTTTTGCAGGGTTTGGTGTTTATATAGAGAGCAATGCCTCTTTTATACTATTATCAACAAAAGAGTTTAGAGAACAAAATATTACCCTAAAACTTTTCATACACTAAGATTATTTAATATAACTTTTCCTAAAATTCACTAGAAAGTTCCGATTTTATACAGAGAGGATATTGAAGGCAACATACACTACTGCGGTGACTCAAAGTCATTCTCAGTTTCATTTACATGCTATATTATTCAAAATCTGAATGTCTGACTCTATACTAAATCATCATAGATAAATATGCATTTGTAGTTTTTTGCTTTTAAAAGTAACATGTCTTTCTTGTTGTGATTAATTGAGCATTGAAAAWATGTGCTCTACCTTCAGAAACATGAGTGGGGGGGATTGCTATTTAGTGTTCATCCCGATGTTTTAGTTGGCTAAGAGTTAGAAATCAGAGGGTTTTCTTTTTCATTTTCTGAATTTATTGTAACATTCAAAAGGTTAAGTTACCAGATGCCTCTTCTCAAATGAGGGCCTTTTTTATATGGTGTTTATTCTTTTTAAGGCACTATAATTATTTATTTTAAATTACACAAAGCTATAGAGTTAAGAATTCTAGCCATGGAGGTATCAAGTGCTTTCAGAATCTGCTATGCTTCTCTATTAAAAAAAAAAAAAAAAAACAACATAGCAAATATGTAGGAGAAATTCTAGAAAAGTTAAGGTATTGGAAAGTTTAAGATTTGGCTGTGTTAAAACAATTTGAACTAAGATTTTAAGCTTCTTCAGGTCATATGCAACCAGGAATTACACTGAGTACATGTAGAACTAGCATCCACATCTACATAAATGTTCTCTTCATACTCATGCTGGAAAATATAGAAGCAAATTTGTGATCAGCTGCTAAAAGATAGGGGAATACATTATGTGTGTTTATTAACTTACCCCCCTCACTTCATTTTAACTTCTTGCCCATTTTGTGAATACCTCATCTTTCCTCTTTATTTAAAATATACTATCTATTACTCTGTGGCTTATTATATTACTTCTGCCACATATATCTTTAGAATATACCATATATTCGATCATTAGATCAATGAAGAGTATATCTGAAACTATAAATGAATATCATGATCCAATTTACTAATTTATAAAATGACATCTGAAACATAATTTATTATTTATTGGTTATGTTTCATGTAAATCACTAGTTACTATGTAAATCACTAATTACATTCTTTCAAATTTCAGCATATTATATTTTTAAATACTAAAGAAAAATGAAAAATATTGTTTGAAAAGAAATTTAAACACTGCTTCTGTATGATACAAGTGATTATGTGTTCATAAACACATAGTATGAGCAATATATTTCAGTACTGAATATAAGAATATTTAGAATTCAGTGTTCTTTGGTGGTACCCAAGCACTGATCCCATCAATAGTGGGTCCTATAACTCATTTTTACTTCTTAAATGCTGATTTCTATGTGATGTGTCACAGAAAAGAGAAGAAATGCATTATTTTAATAATATTTATTTCATTATCTATTAACTTATTCCTTAATTCTCTCCTGCCTCCCTATAAAAATATGAAATTACAGGTGAGTAAAATATGGGAACCACTCTTAGAAGTAAATTTTATTTATGTAAATAATAACAATACCATTAACGCTGATGAATAGCCAAGACTTGTGTTATATTTGATGACTTTCCCAAAAGGAATCATCTGATTCTACTTGAATATGTCAATGGATTTAAATTGATAACCACATGTGCCTTTAATTGTATGAAAATGATTATTATACGTTATGTAAACATTTCTGTCAAGAATGTGCATAATTTCCATGATCATTACAGAAATAAAACAGAAAGCAAATAGAAAATGTCATCCAATCTTTTTCAAAATTCTCACTGATACTCTGATATTAAATTAATATAAATGTATGTAGGTGTATGTAGCACTAGGTTTATTGTTTTAACAACATTGACTACTTTTTATACATGATTAAATAGTATATTTTCTCTGGTTTGTAGACAGCAAATGAAATCTGATTTGAGAGAATTTTCTATAATTTTCTCCTATGTTTAATAAAGTTGTATGCATCTCTCCAAATTGCCAACTTAGTTACTAGTGTGGAGTCTATGAATCTTGCCAAAATCATTGCCTTCAAATTAAGTGAATCCCTATCTGAGAAATTATGTAAATCTAGGGGACTTAAGACAATATTATTCCAACAAACTGCTATTAATAATCACATGTATATGTTCCAGGATTAGCTCTCTAATATATTCTTATTGGAATATTTACTTTCCATAGTAAATTAATAAAGCACTATAGTGTTAGTGCCCCAAAAAGTAAACCATTAATACTTGGTTTTACACACTTCCTTGACAAAAGTCATACAGAAAACATAAATTTGGACTGTACAATATCACAAAAATCTCACCAGTTTATACAATGAATAAAAGATAAGACTTCAAATGAGTATCGAATCTTTCTAAGGCACTTTCTATTTGACAACACACACACACACACACACATTCTAGGTATAATCAGTAGTGTACACATCACAAAAGCATTAAAATTATAGCCATGCCACATGCAGTTATAAGCCCTGCCATGCACCTTTCTCAGTATATTCCATGGAAGGCTACTGTGTTCTCAGAAATGGAGGAAAGAGAATCATAGAAATACAATATGAAACACGGAAGAATGGAATTTTATGCAATACAATTCATCATATTCTTTCAAAATGAAATTAATATTTTCACTTTTGCTAAGAGCATTGTGAAATAATGATTGATTTCACCTAGTTAAACTTCGATGAATGAACCTAAATTAAGTCAATAGGGATGTTTATTAATAGATACTATTACATTTTAAACTTTCTTAACAATTTGAAATGCAAGTCACCATGGAATAATAAAATACTGATTTTTCTGTGCTACAGATCTCCAGTTCAGTATCCCAAAAAAGTCTAGAAGTTGACAGCGAAAACAAGCAAGAAGCACAGTGAAGCTGAGCCATGCTCTTCACCAACGCACCTGGAGGAACTACTCCAATACCATCATCAACCTCATAATCTGAGATGTCACTATCACTGATTCGCTGAGATCCTGCACAACAGTAAGGCAAACAGATACCTCTGTGTCTGATTGGTTTATGAAATGTAAAGGACACAGTCAATTTTTTATACTAAATACATTGCTACTCAATACTTTTGAACAAGAATAGTGTAAAGACTTGAGCTGATATTTTATGAAATTAATGTTTGTTTTCTAAGGATATTTTCTAAGAATTTCCTCACTATAGCATCATACTGAAGACATAAAAGCAAAGGGACCTTGTAAGATAAGATTTTGACCTTTCAGATTACTCTTTAATTAAAATTTCTACACTAAATCCAATAGCAATGTATATGTACTGTTTTCCACACAGCCAATCACTTTCCTGGGCAGTTCAGGAAAGATGGGGCTGAGTGGAAAAGTTCAAAGAACCTCCCTTGGATGAAGCTCTGTGGAGCTCATACTATTGAAAGGACATCAGGGTCTTTTTAAAATATTTATGTTTAGTTTCTAGAATTTTCCATTATACAGCATTAAACATTAATTTGGGGGAARTGATTGAAAGAAAGGACTAACATGAAATATTCAATCACACCTAAAATATTTGGTTCCAGATTACCAAAATGAGGTTTCTAATTCCGGTTGTTAAATAAAAAATTTATTTATAACTCAAAAAATTACTAGATACTACAGCAAAATAAATTTTCCTGACCACCAAATGAATAACAATAAACTTACTTTTTAAACTTTATGTTTAAAAAGCATATTTCTTATTAATATAAGACTAAAAATATCCATGAACTATAAAGTTATTAAGACCTGACATGTAGCAACCCATTAATAATGATGGAAATTACTCTATCATTTAACCAATTAGCAACTCAAAGAGTCTTGCATAAGAATTATAACTCATAGTATTTTAGCTCTTAGCTCTGGAATTCCTCTGCTATGATATATATGTTATTTTATTGTGAAAATGCAGAAAATAGTTTTGTCCAGACTCTTTATATAGATGATCAATTTTCCAATAGTTTAATCTGTAATAAAACCCTTAAAAGTATCTTCCATGCTAATCACCAATTAGATCATTACAACTGATTATTTTCTGGTAACTAAAAAGATCTTGACCTACTTTGAAGCTTCTTGCTAGAGCTTTCTCCATGAATGTGTCGCCTTGGCATGAAAGGTGATGGCTGAGGCAGAGGTAGTGAAGATTCATCGTGTGTCTGAAGTTTATACCAATGTGGTTCATCATCTAAAAGTGCTGTCTCCAATTCTATGAGGATCTGAAAGGGTGGTTCTCAAATTAATTTAAGCACCTTTACCAAAACAAAGTATATCAGTAATCATAATTAACATGTATTTAAAAAAAAAACTCATTGAGCATTTGACTTGAATCTGTACAATATACATCACCTCTCCAAGAAATTCACTTTCTTCTTCTTGTACTCTTGGTTGATCCCACACAGTTATTTCTAACATTCGCTCTCTAAAATCTCTACGATGCACATGTGAATAGACAAAAGTTTGATTCCATTTTGGTTCTAGTACTTTCTTTACTGTTTTGGTCCTCCTTTTACTTTTATCACTGAAAAATAAGGATGTTTTGTAAATGAGCAAGCAAAACAAGTATATGCTGCCACCTACTGCAATTACATGTAATATTGCCATTGGTATTTTTACTACTTTTAGCATATAAAATAAAAGTCTGAAAACACTATAGAGTTAGATAGAATTCTAATTTCAACTTCAATATAAGCAGTAGCTATGATTATAGTCACAAACACACAAAAGTATATTCTAAATGATGTGCTGCTATCAAAGACATGGATAAACAAGGTAATAGACATGTTTAAAAATTGCCAGATTATTTTCAAGTAAACAAAAAGCTTGAGGGACTTTTTTTCATATATAATGAAGTTTGCTCCCTCTGAAAAAATAATCTGTTACATTTAGAAAATATACTTCAGAAGAAAATATTCTATCTCTTCTGTTATTACATATTTTAGCATTTTTTCTAAAATTATTCACTACCTTCTATCTGGAAGAAAATACATTTTTACATAAGGATTCCTGGGACGGCCATCTACTCTAGAGGGTAGATCTGTTGCTTGCAGAACATTTACAATCAGCTGGTGTCCCACTTTATCATACCACAGCTTCACCTAAGAGCAATGCAGAAAGGAATTATTTGGAAAAAAAAGCATGAAGTATTATAATTTTTACATTAAATAATATTAAAATTATATTTAAAGAAAACATTTAAATTGTACTATAATAAAATTTCAGGTATTATTTCTGAAAAGAACACCAACTGGAAAGTGTAATCATTTAGAATTCAACTTTTCTCTCCAAGCATTTTGAACCTATCTTACAGCTGACAGGCCTGCAGTACTATATCTTATGCTACAATTTGGGGAAGAGGGCAATATTGAAATCATTATCCTTGTTTTTTAAATGCTTAACCCAAAAGTTTGGTGGTTAGCAGAGACTCCATCATAGATCAACTAGATGCACTTTTTAGTGCCATGGGTTGATGAAAGAAGTTTCAGTATTCAGATATAAGAGACTAAAAGACATTGGGAAGCTACTAAGTGTTTCCTGTCGTTTTTCTCATTTAAGTTTTATGATTAACTTACTTACAGGCTAATTCATAAGAGAAGGGGAAAAGAAACAAAGGAGGACTCAGTGCATAAATGATATCTTCAAATCACATGAGGGACAGATGGTATTTCTGCTAACTAAAATTTCTTGATAGTTAAACTAAGAAAAATGGGAAACAGCACACTGACATTCTGTTGTCAAAACCCTTAGAACCAGCTGTCAGGAGAGATTTGTGCTGGCAGCAGTAATGACACATTAAATTAACCATAGAGTTCTTTTTATTTCTTTAATCTAGAAGTTCCTTTGGATTTTATGGTTGAATAAGAAATATAAATATACATGGCTGATGATCACATGTTGGAGCATATTTAAGAGTCATGATAACAAAGTAAGCTATTTTAATATGGGAGTGTTTTTTTCATAGTGAGGGGCAGATTAAGAATCCAGATCTGTATGAATCCAACCCTCCAGTTCTCAGTAAATACTAAGGAGACATTTTTCATAAAACCCCAATAGATTTTCACTCTTTTAAAAGTATAGGTGAAGAGTATACACAAACAAACTAGAAAAAAAAAGGTTTTAAGGCAGATAAAATAAATATAAGGGACTATACTAAGATATTAAATATACTAAAAGTAGGAATGAAAACCAAGAAAGCCTTTGAAAATAAGTGAGCTTACATTTATCTTTGACTAATTAAAACTAAGAATAGCAAAGTTAGAAGCAGAAATAAACACATTACCAAAACAGCAAAAAATCAATTAATTGTAGAATAATTTGAAGCTAGGTTTTCTTTTTAGTTATTTAGTCATATGTCCCATATTCTGAATCAATCTACACAGATGTAGCTCTTCATAATAGTTAACCATGGTGTCCTAATCCTGGCTTTCCCCAGATCACATGGAGACACAAGTGAGGGAAATGGCAATTTCTTTAGAGTGCCTGCAGTGCTATCATTTCACCAAATGCCTTAGGAAGTTACAAAGATTATTTTAAATTTAAGTTTCTCAGGCTCTAGACTCAGAAGGGGTTAAGTACATTAAACATGACTTTCTAAAAAAATTATATATAAATAATTATTGCCTTAGAAACATTAATATGGCATGCCAAAATAATGAATATTCTACTTATGTTTCCATTTATTACGTAACATTTAAGGATATGGTATATTGTGGACATTTAATATTTCCATATAAATATATGAATTAAAGAAATAGCTGAAGGAATGCTTAAAAATTAACAAAGTGATTACAGTGTCATATGACTACATTTTTATTGTAGGTTTCAAGGAAAGCCAGGCATTTTTGTTAAGACACACTAAAGAGTAACAAATGCTAAGTATCTTTGTATGTACAACATATACGTACAGAAAGTTGCCCTGGTAAGACTTGTGGGGCATCTTTCAGGGCTCCAGGACTTGTTGGAGAAATAACAGAAATGGAAGGCCTTTCCATCTTTTGAGATTCAAAGGAGCTTGAACCTAAAATGAGAAAAAAATTAAGTAACATTTAAGTGTGTTTAAGTCCAAGGAATAATTCTTTTTTTTAAATAAAATATTTAATGTACCTGTTATTTGTATAAAACAATAATTACCAGCATTAATAACAGAGCCTACTTTAGGGACAGCTATGGAAAGTCATTTTGTTTTCTTTGGTTAAGCTCCTGTTTTGAAGATATTTTGAATGATTTAGCAAAATGTTGCATTTATTTGTTTCAACTTAAAAGTTATTGATCTGCTATATTTCTGCAGGGTACTGTACTGCATAATCTCTTATAAATCCAAATATAGGTATAGGCTCATGCATTAGTAATAAGGAATATGGTGCCTGTTGTGTTCATTATGGTGGCAAATGGATCATTTATTATAAGGTATCTTAGAAAATTAAAATGTATACATATGGAATATAATTTATGAATCACATCTAATTTTATATTACATCATTGTTTTAAAATTTATCTTTGTTACTTTTAATCTTACTATGAATCTCTTTAGCCTCTGTGAATACACTTTCTCATTAATTCACGACAAATGACTTCCTTTACCTTCAAATAAAGGAGGCTGGTTCTCTTTTCTCATAGTGTGTATCCCTGACAACATGGGTAAGGGTAGGATGCTAACAGAGTGCAATTACCCCACTAGTATCACCTTGAACACTCAGCCATTCAAACTTAGCAATTGTTTCATGGAAAAAAACTATTTGTGGATAATGCCTGAGGTATGTCATTGACATACTGTTTTTCTGTACTCACTAATTAACTCTAAATTAAGCCACATGCCATCATCTCCTAGACTCTAAAGGAAACTTATAAGAAACAGATCTGTAAAATAATCTTTGTTACTATGTTGCTTTTATCAGATCTCTTTTGAGATAATTTTTATCAAGACTCAGAACAGGAACACTGTTGCTTCTAAAATCAGTTTGTTTCTTATATAAGAATCTGTTAATTTTTAAAATCTTATCCATACCATAATTATGCAACTAGTTAGTCCCATTTCCCATCTATATTGGTCTATATCTCAAAGCCAAACCTGCAGGTATGATAACATGATGGCATGCCTTTTTATATCCTAGTCTCATTTAATCCTCCCATCCCCTCACCCCCTGCCCATAGCATATTATGGATCAGCATTCTTAAATCAGAGAAATCATTCAGCATTGTTTCGGGGGGATTGGCTAATTTCACTTAGCATTATTCTCCAGCACCAGCCACTTACTTGCAAATGCCATTATTTTATTCTTTCTTAATGCTGAATAATATTCCATTTTGTATATATACCACAAAATTTTCTTTATCCATTCATCTACTGAAGGGCATCTGCATTGGTTTCACAGTTTAGCTATTGTGAATTGTGCTCCTATAAACATTGATATGGCTGTGTCCCTGTAATATACTATTTTTAATTCCTTTGGGTATACACCAAGGAGTGGGACAGCTGGGTCAAATGGTGGTTCCATTCCAGGTTTTCCAAGGATCCTCCATACTGCTTTCCAGATTGAATGCACCAATTTGCAGTCCCACCAGCAATGTATGAGTGTGCCTTTTCCCCACATTGTTGCCAAAATTTATTGTTGTTTGTATTCCTAATGGCTGCCATTCTGACTGGAGTGAGATGAAATCTTAGAGTAGTTTTTATCTGCATTTCTCTAATTGCTAGAGATGTTGAACATTTTTTCATAGATTTGGTGATTGATTCTATATCTTCTTCTGAGAAGTGTCTGTTCAGTTCCTTGGCCCATTTATTTATTGGGTTATTTTTTATTTTTGGTGTTAAGATTTTTGAGTTCTTTATATATTCTAGATATTAGTGCTCTAAGTGTGAATGGAGAAAAGGGGAGGGAGGGGAAGGGAAGAGACATAGAGGTAGGAAAGACAGTGGAATGTGATGGTCATTATTATCCTAAGTACATGTATGAAGACACCAGAGATATGAAAAATTGTGCTCTATATGTGTAATATGAATTGTAATGCATTCTGTTGTCATATATAATAAATTAAAAATAAAAAAGGATAAAAAAAAAAACAAGCCAAGAAATTGAGCATGCACGTATGCCTATAATCTCAGTGGCTTGGGAGGCTAAGGCAGGAGGATCTCAGGTTCAAAGCCAGACTCAGAAACTTAGCAAGTCTGCTAAGCAACTTTTCAAAACCCTGTCTCTAAATGAAAATTTGAGACAGGTCTCACTATGTTGCTTCAAACATGCTAGACCGCCTCAGTTTTCTGAGTCACAGGGATTACAGGCCTACTAGTTCACTGTACCCCRTAGGACTTCAATTTTTACAAAGGGAGATGGGAAGCTGTCCCAAGTTCACTGTGGTTTCTGTGTTGCTAGTAGATTTCAGGGGACAAGGGCAGAAGCAGGGAGACCAGTTGGATACCACATAATTGTCCAGATGAATGATGATGGATGATGGAGTTTGAACCTACGATGGCAGGGAAGGTGGTAGAGAAGAGGGCTTGGTGTGTACTATAAAGGCAGAGCTCTCGGGGTTTCCTGATGGACTGGATGTGGGGGGTGAAGAGAGGAAAGGAGCTTGACGAAGAGTGCTGTTGCTGTCAACTGAGATGGCTTGCTTGCATTTGTGAAAGAATTTCCACTAAGATCCTGGTTTTTCCCTAAATCAAATTATTTTACATTCATATAAGATAATAATAGCACCTGGAGAATTGAGCCCAAGTATTAATTTAATGCCAATCCATGGCAAAATAAATGTTTGGGTCATTCTACATTATGAATAAAATTTTAATATTTGTCTCTATTGTACACAATATCATCTTAACTCCTCCTGAATGACTTCAATTTCCACATAGATATTTTTTTCAGTCCTCTAGCCCCACAGTGAATTTTCTCTCTGCCCACTGGCTTCCATTATTATACCTGAGACTATTTTGTTGTAGATATGATTATTTGTTGGTATGTCTATTTATGAGGCTGCTCCTAAGACTGAGCTGCTAACCAATCAAACAGAATAATTCGGTATCAGAACAAATTTTTATCTACAGAAAACAGAACTATTAGAGGTTTAATAATTGAGCTCTGAAAAATTATGACTGTTTTGATGAGAAGARGCCTGTAGTAAAGACCTTTATATAGCCACAAAAGAAAAAGCAAAAAAAAAAAAAAAAAAAGAAAGAAAAATCTTAAAGGAAACTTCTTTGGGCTTCCAATGATTGGCATGTGGCCAAATTCTGGTATCAGTGAGGACAACCTTAGTCTGGTAACACCAATTGTTTTATGTTAAATAACTGACGAAAAGGATAAGTCTTAACTCTTTGATTTAGTTCTAAACTTTATAATAACACAGAAATCTCATACTCACTGGACTCCAGTGGAGGATGGGAACTCTCAGGAATCCGGGGAATGTCACTAAAAGAAAGAGGGTATTGTAAAAATCCCATTAGGTGAACTACTCTGGCTGAGGCAATCACAACCCATTTTATTTCTATGATGCAGAAAAAAATCCTTTTGCATCTTTAGAAATGTAGAAATGGAGGGAACTTACTATTTAGATAACTACTGATGTACATGGATGTCAAACGCCACACACACAAAAAAACTCCAATAAAATAAGTTTTTAGATATTTAACAGCAAAACACTTTAACATGACAACAATCAGACTAATATTGTGGATAAAATCACCACAATATTTTTACTACCAAAACAGCAGGTTTTGGAAATAAAAAATGTTAAAGATAATATTCTACTTCCATTATAGAAAATCAAAATGACACAAATTTTACAAATCAGTAGTATGCTTTACGAACACATCTGAAAGAGTTTACTGAATGAAAGGGATGGGAATATCTCTTAATAAAATCAAATGATATGGTGGATATTATGGGCAAAGTTAATAAAATGAAAAGGATGAATCGCTTTGGAAATTAAAGATGGCTCAAGCTTGCAACAGAAAAGCCAAAAAATTATATATATATATATATATATATATATATATATATATATGAATATCTAATGCATATGCACATATATAATATTCATGGAGATTCCTATCTCCAAACTGAAGTTAGCTAAATATATGGCTATTTGCTGTATGACTAGAAAATGACTGTAAGAACACCCATTCCTGTCACACTCACAAATTACTCTGAAGAAATATGTAAGATAGGCTTAGCTTAAACCATTATCCACTGTGACCTTAAGAACCCTGGACCACCTTGTTTGCTATTATACTGTATAATACTACTTTACCTCTCCTTTTAAAAAGATATTTTAATATTAATTTAAGAAGATTAACACTACAGGAAGTATTAACATGACATATTAAAGTAGACTGGAGTTAGCCAGTATCAACAGAATTAAGAGCATAATATTTAAGAATTTCGAATTACTTACCTTGTGACCTAATTTGTGCTTTGATTTTCCTTACATTTTTAGGGGGCAAGGAAAATAAAAACAGTTTTCACTGTTTGATTGTTTTCCTGCCCTCTTATTTTCATATTTTTATAAGTAATGTGCATAATCACCTACAACTTTTACAAATTTTCTTTTGAAATTTTACAAATTATACTCTGTGCTGTGTATCTTGGGAAATTTATCTCTTTTGTATAGTTTTGTATAAGTTTAAATAAAATAAATTATTTATATGAATTTGTAACTAAGAGACTAATTTAAAATACCTATAATACAATAAACCAACTATTTATCCTGTTTATTCAAAATTCATTTAAGTGGTACTTTATAAAAAATTCACAATCAATAATTTTTAAATAGTATGATTTCTTTGAAAAGCAGCCTCATAGCCAATTACAAAATTAGAATTTAGAACCCTTAAGCAAGTTATAGACTTTGWATTTTATTCATCATTGAAAGAAGGACGGGGAAGAAATTATTAAAAAGTTAAAGTGATTTTGAATCAAAATTTATTTAATGCTAAATACTTTAGTAACATTTTCACACATAAATTTTCCCATGATGTTTATACAGGTCTTCTTAATCAGTTCTACTCTCAAGTTATGTGGTAAAGGAGTTTAAATATCAGTTATAAGCACCAACGTTTAAGGATATTATATTTGGTGGATTCCCAAATGGTCAATACCTCAAGATGGCTAATGTCTCATAAACTGTGCCAATCATTCCTGAAATCATTATGTAAATAAATTATGAATAAATATTTGCATTTTGAATTTAATTATAGTTGCTGAACAGAACTACATTAAACCCCATTGTTAAAATATCTCTAGAATTATTCCAATAATACAATCACTGGAAAGTTGAAGCCAGCTTTGATTCTTTTTCAAATATAATCTTTGTATTCCATATTTTTTTGATTTCCATAATCCATAATAGTTTAGAGTTTGGCTATGTAGATGATCATTGCTTTAAGTAGTTTTCATAGAAAAATAAAAATGTTATTCCAGTCTACTTTAATTGTCTGTTGGTTTCTTAAATCACCATAATCAATGATATTTTTGCTTATTACTTTTAAACCACTATATATATATATTTAAAAGTATTTGAAAATGTGTGCAGAGCTTCATTTTAAATTTTATTTTTAAATAACTTCTGATTCATTTTCCAATTTACTTACCTCTTTTCCAGTCTCATTTTTACCTCAGCAATAGAACATATGTCATGTAAAACTATCATAAATCATAGAGTTATTTTAAATATCTACATGGAACTGTACTTTTGCAAAGGTCTTCAATGTCTMCTAATGACTTAAAACTGGTTATAAGTTTGCCTTTATTTTAGAGTTTTATATATATTGATGTTCTTTGGTATATGATTAGACATTTTCATTCCTTTGAAATTAGGATTATTATATTTTCTTGTATGTTTTGCATTGACATATATTCATGAGGACAACAAAAATTAAGGTTAGCAGTCTTCCAACATAAAAAGTCTGAATTAATGGCTCTATAATATCTTGGAGAATAGGAAAAAAAGAATTATTTCCAAGAATACATTCAAACATTAAGCCAACTATGATGAGATGGTACAAGATGCCTCCTAAAAATTATAGACTTGCAAAATGAATATTTATTCTGGACTTTGCAGTTTTGCTAGAAAAAGCTAACAATAGGGGAAATATATAGATATAGAAAGTATTCTATTGGTTATAGATAATTAAATTATGTTTAAAATTAAGGTTTTAAAAATGATACCAATTACTATGATTAATTATTATAAGTCAAATATCAAAATATTTCCTTGATTTTAATTGGGAACTACCCAATTGGTAAAGATATAGAAAAAATATTTTGTTCTTTGTAGAATAGCAAAAATCTCATGAAGACATATAAAATCATTAATATTTTAAATATCATAAGATGAGTTTGCTACTMATTCCTTTTAAAGAAAATACTACTCCTTAAATTAGAATTTCTGAAAATAAGTTCTGCTACTAAAAAAAAAAATCACTTTTTATTTCAATTTTGAAAAATATATATTGATACTTTTTGATATTACAATTGTTAGATTATGGAGCTTCTAACATGTAGTAAAAATATTCAGTAGTCCAGTTTTTAAAAATTGAGAAATTTTAAAAAACTAAAATGTATGCCCATAATTGATGAAAAAACTATCCATGTTAACATGTACTGTATGAATGTATAAACTTCTTTTAAAAACCCTACTAATACATGTAATTTACTAAACTTAAGAAGCAAGTTTTTTTAGCCTTACCCAATAGGCCTTGAAACAATAATTTCAACTTGAGGTTCTGATTTTGATTCTAAAATAATGTTGTAAACTTCTTCATTTGTAGCTCCCGGCAGGGGTTTACCATTCCATTCTAGAACTTCATCCCCTTGAATTTAAAAAAAAGGGTATTTTTTTACCTTATATATTCTGTTTTATTTTTCTTATCTTTTCTCTTTTTTTTAACAAAGAAATGCAAAACATATACAAATAATTTAATTTCCTAGGCTCTGCTCTTAAAAGCAAATTGATTGGCATATAATGTGAATTAAAGGTTTTTTTGAACACCTTTATTGTTTTCATGTTTTCCTTTTTTTCTCCCAAAATATTACTGGTCATTGAAAACAGTACAATATAAAACTGCCTTTATCTTTTGAGATATACCAGAAATAATATAAAAATAATCTCATGCTATGGGATGGATTTAGCACAGCCTATTTTGGAAACATTAGAAAATAATAATTAGCAGCATGCCCTCCATATAATAAATGTAAGCAACTCTATGTATGATTCTTATTAAACTGCATAAATCTTCTTTTATTTTGGTAAAAATAGCGATTAACATTTGTTAGCATGAATTTTTCAGTTATAAATCACACTTCATTGTCTTCACCAGATGCATAMCAGAATAAAAATGCATGAAAGGATTTGAATTCACACCCACAGGGTAACACAGGTAGCTATGGCAAAGTTACGAAGCAAGCAGATGTAAAACTTGCATGACAGTTAACCCAATTCCAGATGCTCAAAACATGTACATTATATACATGATATATAGTGAATGTCAAAGTACAAATATAAAAATATTTTTAAAAATCAAAAATATAAAATACTACTTAGTTTGTTAAATAGTTCAAAATTCATTAAGAAATATAGTATGATGCTGCGTTAAAAAATGGAGGTTAATGACTAATCGTTATTACTTTGATTAGAATTTTCACCATAAATCATTTGCAAACAAAGATTTGTTCTCATAAATATTTAGCATATTTTTAGTTCCCAGATAGTTCTAGCCCCCTTCAATAGACAACAGAAGGCTCAGTTGAATGAAGATTAAATAGACAGCAAAATGACCAAGCAGTGAGGGCCCCATTCAACCACACCAAAATGAGTTTTTCTGCTATCAGGCCCCCGCCAGCATGGCAGGAGTTATATCTCTTCTTGCTTAAATAAATCCTGCTCAGTTTACTCTTCCATTTCTGCTCTGTTTACTTTTTCCTTCCATGATCATCCATAAATTTTATTCTTCAAAATTAGTGAGACAAGAACCCAGAGGAAATTGGAGAAGAGGGGAGTCTAGTCTCATCTCAAAACTCTGGTTTCACAGCTGAACTACCACAGCCTTGGTGGCATGTGGAGGCATCTGAATGTTTGGATGCTTATTTTGTTGTTCTCAGTATCTAGAACATATTAGGGGCTAAGTAACCATGTGCTTATCTAAGGAATCAATATTGTTACCAATTTTAAAACTTGGACTAAACATGAAATCTTTAGTTTTGGTTAGGTCATTTTTTTACAACAAAAAAACATGTTTTACTAGGACTGTTTTTAAAGTAACTATTTTTTTTTTCTTTCAGGTTACTTGAAAGTAGAAAGTAAATGTTGAAAAAGCACATCATGTGCTGCTTTGATTTGGTAAACAGTATTCTTGTTGACAATATTTAAATAATTTCTCTAAGCAGTTACCTAGAAAAAAAGTTTTTCAAATAGTCAACGAATCTACTTCATTATTTAAAAAAATTTAAAAAGGAAAAAATAATTACAGATTATAGCATATCAGGAGTTTTATCAAATTTTTTTTACCAAGGAAAGAAAATTTATATCATGACTCAGTACACATATATAACAATAATATGTACACATGTATGCATATGTATATATACATACATTTACATGCTAGAAAATAGTTTACAAAACAATACTTACCCTGATAGTTCCTATTATGTTTTAGATTTTAAAAATATTATGTATTTCAGTTTTTTAAAAAATAATGAATATAAACAATTAAATTAATTATGCTATCCAATAATGAGTTGCAATCAATATTTTACAAAAGTACTGTATTATAAAATCCTCCTGTTTATAGACAGCAACATGGAAGCACAGCTTTTAATATCAAATTAAATTAATACATGTGATTATTTTTTATTTATAAATCAACAACTCCTAAACCAGAAAGTCCTTTTTTACCATTACTTATATATGAATAATCTTTTCAGGCAGGGATATAGACAGTGAGGGTACAAACAGAATATTGACCCTTTCTCTGTCTTTGTATTTGGTGGTAGAGAAATAATATGTAAGCAAGTAACTTTAATAAAATTTGTCTTATGCAAGGATAGCAGTTCATTCAAGAAACAGAGATAGAGAAAGGTGGCTCCAGAGAAATAATGATTAAATTATTGCTTCAAGTRAGTATCAGGACTCTTTTCAACTATGACAACTTGAGATGAGTTTTGAAGAATGCAAAAGACTTCATCAGCAGAGCAAAAGAGAAATCAGGTAGACCAGAGGCACTGATCACATCTTATATATAGGTAATAACAGCTTGCCAGGAAGACTGACTTAACTGGGAGTGGAAAGTGTTAGCAGGAGATAGTCACCAAGCTTTGACTTGAACAAAGAATGACCAAGAGACATGAAGAATCTTAATAAGCAGTGCCTCTATGTTTTAGATGGTTAGGCCAAATAGCAATGAAGTGCATGAATGAACTTGAAGGAGAGCAGGGCTGCAGAAAGTTCTGGCAAGATTATAGCAAGATTCCAAATGCCAGAAGTGAAATGAATGGAAAAAAAATAGTGTTTTAGTTTTTTATAGGCCAGCAATTTTTATATGCAAACAAAAGAAAAATCAATCCTGTATTAAAATTTAAGTCAGACTATATGATCAAATCTATTAAAAAGCTTTAGTTGCTTCAAATACATAAACTGCTGTAAGTAAAATGTACACTGATGAGTTTTATAGTTATCTTAATTGAGCTTTTAACTTCTCAGCCCATGGGTGTTAAATAAATGAAATTAATCACTAAGAGGTATATTATACAGAACAACTCCTGAATTGACTTCTTCCAAGTAATCATCTACTAAAACAAAAGTACAAAATCAAAAGATACTATGTTTATAATCTGATCTACAAATTCARTTTTCTGTAGTTAAAGTTATATTATATTATCCACCACAGATTTTCATACTTTTTTGGAGTATATTTTGAGTTTTGTACAATAATTCAGTTTACTAAGATAGTCATCCCTAATTGACTTACTTTCTTATTGAATCAATGACTAGTCTTTGATTAGAAACAATGGTATACCAACCAGTACACCGTACTGCTACACATCTTCAAAGTCATACAGTAAATGGAAAAAAAACCTCAATTTGGATTTTCTCCTTATATAATACCTAATATAGAAGGTCCCTATCAAAGAAAAAACAAAACTTGAAATGATTTTGAACCGATTTCTGTAATCATATCAAGAAGTCTGTAAGACTCCTAGAATATTTTTCTGAAGTTATCAAGATAGAAAATACAGGCTGGAAATGTTCTCTATGTATTATAGGTTGTTAATAATCAACTCTGAAGTGAAGTCAAAGAAGTAGGTTAATGTGATTTTAACTAAAATGAACATAAAATAATTTACCAAAAATATATTTTAAAAAGTGTTGCTACTGGACATATAGCACATTTGAATATATTATACGATTTTATTGTGCCATGTTAAAGTTACAGAGCAATACATATTTCTGAATACTAAATAGTGGCTCTTTTGCATGAGTACAATATGTCTCATTTTAATTAAGAATATTTTATTATGTAATATGCATCATAAATGTGACTATATCTATGTTTTATGAAAAATACTGTTCCTAAATAATTGTTTGGGGATTCTGTGAAAAGTTTTAGTAATTACTGTAAATAATGAGGTGGAATTTCTTTTAAAAAGCTAAACTGTTTTAGATTTGAAGTCTGGCAACAATACTATAAAGTCATCTACAAAAATAATACTTCAGCATTTTGCATCTCTGTGTTTTACATAAATAAAAATATTCCTACTCAATCTCTACAGATTGCTACTTATGTATAGTTCCTTATGGAAATCACATTCCTGTCTCTATTAGGAAAAAAAAAGCTTTATTTTTGCATTAAAATTAATTAGTGGTATAAATGTAATATGTAAATAAATCATCCCAAATTGAAATCTTCCAATCCATGCATTGATAGCATGTTTGAATGTAAAAAAGAAGCTTTACCTGCTCTCAGGTGTCCAACTACATCTGCCAGGCTACCCTTCTTTACTTTGGTGATGAAAGCACCAAGACGTCCTAAGTCAGTCATTTTTCCTCCAACAACCTGGATGATTACAAAGTTATAAGTTCTTAAGATTCATATGAAATACAACTTTATTAGTTTGAGAAAGTATTTTATAATGTTTTACAATTAAGTGTGAGAACATTAGTGAAGTACAATATCTTTTTAATTAAAGAAACTGGCAGCATAATATTGAAAAGAAGATATTTCATTATATTTGTGATGACCATGTACCCTAAGGAAATTTGTTTACTGATTTCTTACACTAACCTAACAATAACAAGACACCAAAAATAATGTATGCATTTGGAAGACAGGTGCCTCGTCTCTCTGACTTATATCAAACAGCAAGTGTTTAACATTGTTTAGGATTTTTTAAAATCTTCTAAACACATTCTTACCACTTGAATCATTATTTCTATGTGAAGATAATACCCCATTGTCAAATCAGATTTCAGTCTCCTTTGTGTATCTGTGGTTTAATATAGTAGGCCTACAACCATAAAGACTAGGAATTCCTACCAAGATCAGGCTACATTTTGGAAGTAATTTACCACTGTGCAAAGTGTACAGTCTAAATGCATCTGACCATGTGCTGACCTTCTCATCAGAAACAGATATTTGAGGTTACCTGACCTTCAAAGTCTGAGCTATATCACTATTGAATACTTTAATGTGGCTTTTCTGCTACATCTAAAATATATGTGAGAAACTCTAGGTTTAATTTTTCCCAACGCAGGGGCCTCAAATACACAATTAAAAGTGCATTGACTTTTTTTTTTTGACTAGCAAATTTACTAGATATTTGTCATTCAAGTTTTCATCTGCTTTGTGACAAATACACCTTGAGGATCACTTTTCTAATACTTTTACTATGAAGTGGTACAACCTCAGCCCTATTTAAGTAGTATTTTTACTTAATGTCAAATCCTTATCCAACTAATGGAAACTTGTATATAAAAGGGTTGCTTGAAAATAAGAACACAATTAGTTGTGTTAATAACCCACCATTTTACACTTGATACATCTGTGTCTGCTAAAACAGTTAGCCTTCTCATTTTTCTGCTTGTTTGTTCAGTCTGAATTAAAATTAGATTTTGAAAATAAAAWAGTAGGTATTACCAAAGATTGAAGTTGATTCACAGTTCTTATAAACATACCCATTAATAGAGGTAATAGAGGTGATCAGAATTATTTCACAGCAAGAGAAATTAATGCTAATAATATCATTTGAGTACATGAACTTTCTTTCTTGTTTTTCAGGGTTGGGGGATCATGCATGCCAGACAAATGCTATATTAGTGAGCTCACTGCCAGTTGTATTAATGTACAACCTCTTGACAAATAATAGTTTTAAAGTAACATTTTTTAATATTTATTTCTTTAAGTAACTGAAAGCAAAACTATATAATGCATATACATAAGCACACATATAATACAAGATACCTATGCAAATGTGTGCATAGACTTTTCCAGAAAACAATAATCTTTTGTAATCTATCAGATTCTTATATCTGTTAGAGGACATTTTAATTAATTWATTTATTTTTTATTATTTTACATGAGCTCTCTCATTATAATTATTATTTGCCTTACAATTCTTAATACACCTTTATACCAAAATTTATCATATTTCTGAATACAAGATATGCTGACACCAAACTGACATCTTCATACATGTATTTTGTATAATGATGAGGGTCTCCTTCCACCATCCATGCATGGATAGAGGACATTTTTAAAAGATATATTTTCTTCTTTTAGTATTATCATAAATATTACTATTATTAGAAAATAATTTCCTTGTTGAAGTTTTATATTGCTGCTTAACATATAATAATGGTCCACATTTTATCTAAGTTTACTGCCTTCCATTAAAATCTTTTTAATGTAAAATTTATCCTTAATAACCAGAGACAAATAGTTTTCCTATGTTCTATTGCATTTTTAATACATTTGTATTATATTAACAAAAATGATTGAAAACTACTAACCTAGGAAAACTATTACACATAAGACAAGCTATATTCACTAGAGAGATTTCATTTTGAAGAAGAGAGGAATATATTTAAAGATCATTGCTGGGCATAGTGATGCTTGCCTGTAATCCCAGCTACTTGGGAGGCTGAGGCAAGGGCATCACAAGTTTGAGGCCAGCCTCAGCAACTTAGCAAGACCCTGAGCAACTTACTGAGACCTTGTCTCAAAATAAAAATTAAAAGGATTGAGGATATAGCTCATTAGTGAGGCAAAACTAAGTCCAATTCTCAATACAAAAAAAAGAAAAAAATCATTGTCAGAAATTTTGCTGACTGCAGTCTGTACTGTAATTCACCCTTTAAGAAATATTCTAAACCAGCATACTTACTTTCAGACCCAGTAATGCACCCGATTCTTTGGGCATGGTTGTTCTTTTGTTAAGAATAACACGTCCAATTAATCGGTCCCCCTCTTTGGATGGCTGCCACGTTACAGGATGCTGTTAAATGCAAAATTTAAAAAGTAAACAACTTTTTTTTTCTATAGACACATGTTACCATGATGTGATTTCCTCAGTTAAAAGATACCCTAGAGGGAATTCTTTATTCTTAGGAACTTCATCCTTGGCTTACAATATTTTTCACTTAGACTTACTTTTTATTTACAAAAGACACTTATACTCAATGATTCTGAAAGTACTTAGCAACTAAATATATCTCTTAATCAAAATTTAAAAGCAATTAATTTATTTTAAAATGTCTGCTTAAATGAAGAAAATTTTTTTGTTATTAATGCTGATACTATCCTTAATCAAATACAGTGTCCATTCTTAAATCATTAGAATGGTTCATCTTATAAATTTAACTTCACAATGGTGCAAAAGTGTTACATATTTGGTAGAAACTATACTTTGAATTTTGATTTATTTTAGGATTAGTGATATAATATTGTCCTCTGTTGAGATGATAAGCAAGAGCAGTGAGCTTAGCTCTCAGGCAGCCATAGGATCACAAGGGTAAACAACTAATACTCTATAGTGTACTGTTGCTAAAGGAAGATGTACGGTGGTAGTCATGATTTAATAATTTTTTTACTTAATACACAATTTGCTATAATTATTCAGTGTCAACTAATTTTTTCTTCAAAACTGCAATGCCAAATGAAATTAACATTTGCGATCATAGAACATATAATGGTGCAGGACTCATTTTCACCAGTATATATAAGACCATGGATAAAGTATAAATAGTCCTTGAATTGCAAACACTCAATTACCAGAAAACTTACCGAACTAATAGGTGATGTTTCCCGGCTGTGCCACGTGGCAGGATCCAACCAGTAATAATCCAAGTCACCTGCACAGCAGGAAAAAAACAAAATTGTGATAGTGTTAAAGTGGAGATTGAAGTATTACCTCTTCAATCTATAAAGTGTTAAGAATATTGTAATCTTGAGTTTACACATCCCAGAATGATACTTTGTGAAAAGTTGGGACTAGAGTCACTGGAATAAATATGTTCTACAAACATACTTCCTGAAATAGAAGGGCTACTCCCACCCCCCACCCCCACTGCCCCCAAATAAGCCTAGTAACACTGACACATAAACATACAGGGAAGAACAGGGTTAATGTGCTTTTCCAACATTCAAAGCTTTCCATTCCAAGTCACATCCTGCCATCTAGTGGTGACGCCTAAAATTACATTTATTGAACTGAAAGTATTAAAATTTGTCTCCCTTTCTACACTTCTGAACTATAACATATTTTTCAAAAAATAATTTTCTTATTCCTACCTTTCCTCATATACTGAAAAATATGAAATATGTTTATTAGTTATTATTAAATGTCAAGAAAAATGGTAAAAGAATGCAAATGACACAGTACACACCAATTTTAATAAAACCACAAAGTAAGCATTTGAAAGAAAAATTAAGAGACCATGTTTTCAATATTTGAATGAAAAAAAAGGCAATAAAAAGTGGGACACCTATATGAGAACATGTATTAGGAAATCAGGGGAATAAATGAACTTTTATATTTTAAGTATCAGATTAATTCAATAAAAATTTTTTTTTTCCATGGATCTCCAAAGAAACGAGTAAGTCAGCTGACACTGAGATACAAAGCTAGCTAACTTGGGGAAATATGACTGACCAAGACTGAACAGGCCATGAGTAAATAATTTTTCATAGATGATAGGCAATGAAAGGTACAGCATGTAAAAGGAAATAAATTTTTTAGATGTATAAAATCTACAGGCAAAAAAAAATCCATACTCTTCAATTTATTAGTAGTTGCTTTTCTTTTCCTTTTATAAATCTTAGAAAGGCTGAAGGCAAATGTTATCGATACTAAATACTAAAATATTACACAAATATTCATGTGAATAATAGTAGTATACTCTATGTAGGGGTTAACATTTGAAATTGCACTAAAAATTATTCTATTAAAAATTACTTCATATGGAATCTGTTTGTTTCTCAAATTCACATCCTTAATATGTATACATGGCTTAATATCAGAGAGTATTTCTACTGGACCACTTCAGTTAATGGAGTGTAAGGAAGATGCAAAAGGAAGATATTTCTCTTTGGTATTTATTTGCTGCTTGTAAAACTTTATGCAATTATTCTTTTTTTTAAAGTACACATATATTATTTTTTATTGGTTGTTCAAAACATTACAAAGCTCTTGACATATCATATTTCATACATTAGATTCAAGTGGGTTATGAACTCCCATTTTTACCCCAAATACACATTGCAGAATCACATCGGTTACACATCCACATTTTTATATAATGCCCTATTAGTAACTGTTGTATTCTGCTACCTTTCCTATCCTCTACTTCTTAAAGTAGTTTTTTCGTTAGTTCATCTCGAAAAAACTACAGTGTTAAAATTGAAATTCTATTAATACAAATATTACTGTTCAAAAGGTAATTATTGCAATTTTTACAAGTTTCTCCCTAAAATTTCACATACTTAGTAAAAAGGCCTGATAATATCTTAAATGCTGATTCATTTCTAAACAGTGATAAAGTAATTGAACCACTGAGACGTTGGTGGGAAGGTGATTCAATTTCCCTGAAGAAAAAAAAATACTAATGAAACTGAAAGTTGCTTTAAGAAGTCTTTGAAGCTAAAATAATAACAAAAATCACCCTATTTTTTTCAAGCAAACAATAGTTCTTCATATCCCTCAAAAATTTTTCTTAAACTTTAAAAATTACACTTCTTGGTATCTTTCTCTGGCTCATGCCCCCATGCCTTATATGGTGATTCAGCTCTGTTTTATTCACATTGTCCTAAATAGATACAGACAAATATTTGCTGTGCAAAAAGTGTTCTTCATAGGCAAAGAACCAAAAGCTGATGCTTCTGGTAAAATTCAGCCATGCTATTTTGCACACCTTATTATGAAAGCACAGATACTATTATCATCTATGAGCTTTTCAGGGGAATCACCTTGAATGAAGAGTCTCATCAAATTGGTTAGAAAGAAGGAAGGAAGGAAGGAAGGAAGGGAGGGAGGGAGGGAGGGAGGGACAGACATATGACTATATCTACATACAAGTATCTATACAGTTTGCCAGGAGATTCTAATGTGTATCCAGCACTAGAACTTACACTATTCTGTAATATGAATGCTACAGAGTTTGCAGCTATTTATTTATTTTTTGCCTATTTTGGCCATATATAATAGTGTAAACATCAATTAAATATTGATAACAAATGTAAATGTATAAAGTTCAATTTGAGACAAGAAAAATAAAGAATAGTGTTACCTTAGATTGGTAGAGAGAAGTGATGGGAGGGGAAGGGAGGGGAGGGGTTGGGTGGGTTGGAAGAATAGTAGAATGAAATAGACATTATTATTACTGTGTGTATATATATGACTGCATGACCAATATGATTCTGCAACCTGTACATTCAGAAAAATTAGAAATTATATCCCATCTGATTCAAATGTATGATATGTCAAGATCATTGTACTGTCATGTGTAACTAATTAAAATAAATAAAAAATTTTAAAAAAATAAAGTTCAATATTTAGTATACAATTTATACCTCTTAATATTGTGATATTTTTATTAATTTTATCACTTATTAAATAATATTGTTTTTAAAATCTTACAAAAATTACATGTTACATATTAAAATCTAAATATGTTATTTTATATTATGTTTCTTCTAACCATATAATTACTGTTTGAAAGACACTTAACTTTTAATTTCTCTAATTTGTCTTCACAATTTACATTTTCCTATTATTAATGGTATAAGCAGCACCTAACAAAACCTTCTCCTAAAATATTCATAATCAAATATTTCATTACTACAAACCATTTCCTTGATTATTTTTCTAATAGATGATTAATGATATTGACTTCTAGTTGGCATAACTTCAAAATGATAAATTTATGGTATTTGCTTATGGAATCAATACAAAAACATCTTGGCTCTAATATTCAATATAATTCTAAAGAAACTAATTTGCTATTATCATTAATCCAGAATCAGGAAGCATATAAGTCTGTTGTGTCTACTGAAATAGTTCAACTTTATAATTAGCCATGCTCAAAGAAGCATTATAATTTTGAGCTTATTTTTGTGAGGAATTTTAAAATAGTTTTGTTCTCTGCCCCTGTATAAAAAGCAGGCTAATTAAATCTGGTTAGCATAGATCTTTCATTCCACAAATTTCAATGCACCATGCATTTTCAATGTACAAATCTATTTTCAATGCAAAAGTAAAATAAATCACTTGTCAGCTAATGCACACAAGTGTTCTGTAAAGAGGACTATTTTTTCCTAAACCCAGGTCACTATGATTAGACTGTTTAACAATGCATAAACCTGGATCTTTATGATTTAAAATTTCTATTTTTTGGTATCTTGTGTCAAAGCACAGTGAATTTCAATATGACCAACTGAACCAAAATACCTTCCAAACAATGCAGGTGCTTGGTGGAACATGTATGTTAAAACTGTATGCAAACCATGACTCTAATTTCACATATTAAATACTTAAAAATTTACCTGACATATATACTTTCTCAAGTGGAACATATACTTAATGTACATATAGCAAAGGAAAAGTTACTACACCAAATTAGCACACTGCTTAAAGTATTAGAAAAGTTAATCTTCTGGCCYGTCTCCAGAAGAAATATGCAGCATATTTTTAACATCATTATAATGAATTATGATAAAAACCAGAATGCATATCTATTCTAATATTCACTCAGTAACCCATACAATTCATAATTTATAACCATAATTGAGTTCCTGGTCATCTAAAAATAAATTGTTCTTCCTACATAAAATGGGTTGTTTTCATTAAAAAAAAAAAAGAAAGTATATTTTACAGACCAAAAATCAGAACTACACTTAGCATTTATCTCCTAAACCTATTAAAAATTTTTCCTTTTACTTATTTTTTAGTCCTTTATCACAAGATATGTGTTGGGATTAAGTACAATTAGATGAATATTACACTAACTTTAATACAGAACAGTACATACACAAATAAAAGTGCAGAACAAAAATATGGTTATTGAATGTTTGCATGTAATGCATACACAAAAGTTATCTTAGGTTTTGAAGTTTGATCAAGTATTTTCAACACCAAGTCCCATGGCCAGCAGATATGATTAAATAACATTTGTCTATATTACAATAAGTATGTGTATGTAAATTAATCTGAATAATTGACAAGAACATTTATTTCAGTAACCGACATTTCACAGACATGAATTAAACTGAGAAATGAGTTAAAATCTTAACTCTGGATTAATATATGAAAATATCACATGAAATGATGTCCTCATTTATTAAAAGTCTTATTAAAATACTTCCATGATTGCAAAAGGAAAGTGTCCTCATAATCTACAATAGCAGAGTTAACTCTGGAATAAATCACCAATAATTTACTCATAGCAAAGTTCCATAAAGTCTAATTTTCACTTGAGTTAACAGGGGAAAGAAACAAATATTATCTTACAGTACTTGATTTCTAAGCATTAAAATAAAATGGAAAGAGATAAAGTTAAATTTAAGCATTAGTCAATCTATGAAATATTAAAAGCATATTCACAAGTAAATGCTATGAATATCATTGCAAAATCAGTACATTGTCTTTCATTATTAAATTATTATCTCTCATGATTGACTGTCATTCTAAGTTCCTAGCATACTAAACATATTAGTTCTTAAGTATTTTTATGGTAATATCATTGAAAGCCCATGCCAACTTTCACTCCCTAAACATATTTGAGGGCAAATCACTGTATAAAATTAGTAACGGAGATTTGCCTGACTCAAGCTCAACCTCTTTAACAATTTAAAATGC